GTTCCGGCCGGAAATTAATTAACCAAACGAAACGAAACACGTACGCGCCTTCAATCTCTTAGCCGGCCCGGGACGACGTACGTGCACCAACAAATCGATAATGCATGGGAGATCCACAACTGTAGAATGCCTCTTTTCTTCCGGTTCGTAACCCCCAATAGTTATGTGCTGCAAACCCGGAAAAGGAATCCAGGATGACGATCTTTAGTCCCGGTTTAAATACTCGGGGAGTAAATATGCATCTCTACTCGTCAAGCCCCTCCGCGCCGATCGATGCCTGCCGCGCAGTCCTCTGCGCCGCCGCCCGCCGCGCCTCCCCGCGTCTGCCGCTCGCTTGCCCACTGCCGCAATCGCGCGTGAGAGGATAGGATAGAGAGAGGAAAGGGAGAGGATAAGAAAAGAGAGGAGGAGGATAAGGGAAGAGGTGGTTCCTAGAGGATAAGTCCGATAGATTATATACTATGCACCAATTTTTAAGTCTCCTCTAACCGGGAATAAAAAGAGTAGGGGGCGTGCACTTTTTCGACTAGAACTAAACATCATAGAATAGCTGTGCGGTTTTTAACTGGAGCTAAAGATGATATTTTTAGTCCCAGTTCTTTTAGGAACCAGGACTATTATGATTTTTAACCGATCCAGCAAAGATCAGTTCTCCAGTAGTGATCAATCAGCTTAATCGATAATGAGGCTGATCTATTACAGTGTTTCTGTTCCATGCAACCGCAATCAACGAGCGAACGAAGCATATGCATGCCAAAGCAAAAGGAGGCAAGGATCTGCAGATTGCAGATCGAGCCGACGTGGAACGTGAGGCCATCAGCAGCCGTTGCGCCGAGCATCCACGGTGCCCGGCCAGAGGCGGGCACAGGGGTGCGGACCTGCGAATCTGCGATGCGTCTGCCTCCCCGTACCACTACCAATGCAAGTTGCCCAGAAATGCCAAAACCCAAAAAGCAAGCGGATGATGCAGGGGACGGGGCCACCGGTAGCTGTGCTGTCTCGGCGGCGGTTCAATTCCCCGGGGTTACATCCACTGCACCAAAGCGGCAAAATGTGCGTCTCGTGGATTCTTGTAGTTGTACTTAATTAGACGAGTAATGGGGTCCGTTTGGATTCAAGGGACTAAAAATTTAACCATACAGAATCTTACCATTTAAAAATATTTAATAAATTTTATGTACTAATTTGCTAGATGAATATACAAGGTATATTAATCCATGATTAGTAAATGATTACTATAGCAAATCATGGATTTCCCCGCAAAAAAATCATGGATTAATTAGGTTCATTAGATTCGTCTCGTAAATTAGCCTGGAGATTATGGAATAAGTTTTGTCAGTAATCTACGTTTAATACTCTAAAATATCAAGATTCCGGAGGGCTAATATTAGCCCTCCGGATCCAAACAGGGCCATGGAGATTTCGAGCCCGGCCATCTGAGCATATATATTGCCCGTGTCCATTTCTCCTACTGTTGTGAACTCGTACCACATACTATGTTTTATTAGGGCCTCTCATTGTTTCGCTTGTGATTATTAGTTAAAATTTGAATATTTAGATTTAAAATTGAAGTTGATTTTGGATGTTTTCACCGAAGTTTATTTTTTAGCTTTTGCTTTTATATCACTGAGAACACGTATATAAAAGTTTTATTTATAAACTATTTTTCGTTTACAAATTGGCTTATCCCCGAATAATAAGTGTGTAATCGAAATTAGGTGGTGTCGCACACTCGCGGCCTCGCGCGCGGTCGTGCACTCGTACACTTGTCTCTGTTGATCTCGCTCTTTAATTCCGTGTATTATCTTCACGTGTTGTTTTGATTTCTCTCATGGGACGCTTTCAGTGCATAGTACTACTCCAGTATATAGCTGTGTGCCTGTGTTTAGTGATAAGTGGTGGGCGCGTGCAGCTAGCTAGCTAACTGTGGCATCAGCATGCCTGCCATCATGTGCATGCGCAAGCAGATCTACGAGTAGTTTGATTCGAAAATGCGCCAAAAGGCACGCAATTAAGAAACTATGTGTGGCTTCTTATTTGGAGAACACGAGTTAATTGAAAAGGTAGTTAATTCTTTAATTGATCCACGGATTTTTAGCCCACGAGTTTTATCTTTCGTTCATCTGGAACTGATAACTACACACTAACACACATGACCCCCTTTCTCTCAGTTTTAAGTGTTGATCGGTCGGCGATCGATCGCTGCATCGGTGGATGCAATCAGGCACGCAAGGCCCCATTTTAGCACCAAATCGATCTAACCCCATGAAAAAAACGATGGATTTTGTTGTAGCAGGGGGCCAACGCCCTTCCTCCTATCCGGTCAAAACACCAAAGCGATAATTCCTGGAAAGTTTCTAAGTATAAAACAGAAAAACACACTTAAGTGGGAAAACACTCTCGAGCAGTAAAACACTCCCTGGTGGAAAACACTCTCGAGGGGGAAAATACTCTCGAGTGGGAAAACACTCTTGAGTGGGAGGACGTACCTGAGTTTGTTTCTCACCATTTGCATGTAACCTATCTTGTTTGGAGATGAATTCTAAATACATGACAGGTGAACCTTGGCGGCTGGGAAGCTGGTGAAGAACGTGTGAGCCCCTAAGCATAGAAGACATTCGGCTAGAGAACTCGAAGGAAAAACGTATTTCGAGCTAAGAATGAGTCGAATAGAAGATTCTGTAGGGGCCACTTCCCAACCACTCTTGCCAGCTAGAGCCAAAAGACTATAATGACCCTGAGAATGTATCATAATATCCTTAGGGTTGCTGACATGGCAAGGGCATTATAGGAAGTTCACTAAAGCCCATGAGGGCAGAAATGTAATGTCACATGTAAGATCGTATGCTATAAAAGCCGGTCAAATACTTGTAGCAAGACAAGACATTTTTAATATAAAAGTAATCCTCAAAGGTTGTGTTTGTTGTTTTGAGCTTATTTCTAAGAATAGACAGGAAAACACTTCTTTTCGGCCTATTCCCGATCTTGTTCGTGACCAAAGGTCACAACAGATTTGATCAAAAGATAGTGCTAGTGTTGCATACACATGCAAAGCTTCCACAGCTGGAGGGAGGAAGTTACAAAAGCGCTCCTTGGTGACAATACTCTAATGACTAATACCGGCTTCTGCGCGCGCTTTACCCCCTTTCTTTTCCGATCAATGTTAGAGGTGATCGATCCACAAATTAAAGCTAGCAGCCAGCAGGAGATACTGCCTAGCTACCTACTTAGCTTATCTGAAACCATATCCTGAACAGCGAAAGCATAAGCAAGAGCATGCATCGATCGATCGATATATACGTATGCCCAAATTAAAGCACGGCTAGCCTGCCGCCCCGGCCGGTTGGTCGATCTATCGGAGAACAAGTTGTTGGCTTGTTCCCCTAGCTGACGCGCTGCATGCTGAGTCAATGTAGCTACGTGATCAAGTTATCACGGTCAGCTTCGTCGACACGAGGAACCGATACCGACCAGAACTGGGAGAGAATGCATGGGTGTACTACAGAATTAATGATGGATTATATTCTCCGAGATCACCGTGCTTTCTATCCCTCCAGTTATAGGCCAGACAGGCGCAGATTATTTCGCCAGCATCGTGCATGCATGCATCCTAGCTCGGTTTCGATCCGCACCATGCTAGCTCTGCTCTGATCCGTTCGTTTTCCCGGCGATTTGCGCATAGAATCCGGGCATCCGTGACATCTGGTGGTGTGGTGGTGGTGATGGAGACGCGAATTGGCAGGAGCGACGCGGGTTGGTTCCCCGCGCATCGCCGCGAGGTGGGGCGTCCAGCGTCCAGCGTCCGCGCTCGCTTGATCGGATCAACGAGAGGCATCGGTTCGTAGCTGCGCTGGTTGGCTGGACGTCTCAACCGATCGACGCGCGTGTGCCGGGGGTACAATGTTGCGGGCCTTTGCGGCACGAACGATGCGCGCGGTGTCGTGGGGCTACTAAATTCCACAGGTCCACCGGCCGGCGACGGCTGTAGCTAGTGCCTCGCGGCCGCGGTGCGTGTGGCTGTGCACGTCGCGTCGTGCCGGGAGAGGCCGGGGCATTTTCCGCTGCGGTTGGGACGGGAGAGGCCAGGGGCGTGCCATCGAGCACTACTGGAGAAAAATGATCTTTGCTAGATTGTTCAAAATCCACAATAGCTGGTTCAACTAAAAATTCACCCGAATTCAACTTTACTCCCGATTATTTTACTCATTACTAAAGATGCAGTTTCTCCTATAGTGTAGGATCGGCAACGACCCGAGAGAGATCGAGAGGCAACACACGAGGTGAAATTAGCAAATTCGCCTTTTTTTAATCAAACATTAGCGGGCCAACAAATGGGCCTCATCCGGATTTCGTTGGATCAATTTGGGCCGAATCTTGAGGTAACCAGACTACCAGTGGGCCGGAGTTCAGTAGGGCAGGCCGACAAACGTATGTTTTAATAGTTTTGCTATATATTTGTTGATAATTTTTTCCCAAAACTTTGTCAGCTGTAAATATACAGTACAATAATAGTGTAATTATATCATAACTTGTATAATTATAGTACAGCTTGTATGTAATTTTTCAAATTCCCACGGTAACATGTCATTTTCGTGAACCGGAGGTCATGGGACTTGCTAGTGTGTGCCCCGTGAAAAACGTCTAGGGGTTTTCCGGTTAGCTCCACAAGGTGATAGGCTGATGATCTGGATTTAAAGTCTCATCCATTCTAATTATTTAATATTAGATTCTTCCTTAATATTCGTGTCATTTAGTGTGTGCCATGTGATTTTTGGCTTTGTTTGACCGCCGGCTTTCTAGTTTCTTCGTACAATCAAGCGAGGGTGCCGGCCACTGTGTCAAAAGGGGAAGCATATTTTGCCCATTAGCTGGCATTAGGGCTTATCAGTCTTAATCCAGACCGAGTATTTCTAATCTAACGGTCATCCAGCGGATTGGATTGCACGCAGCAAAGGAGCTGATCTCCCACGGGCGACCGCAAGTATATTTTGAGCAAGATGTTTAACAAATTGAATCTCCAGACACTTGAATTCAATCAACAAATCCAAAGGAATATTCCAGTACAAACGAATCATCACCATTTCATCACCCCAGTTCCACTCAAAGAATCGTACTTTCAAAAGGAAATTATTAAAGCACAAACCACAACTCGCGCGTGAATCGTGACAGGCATGCATGCATGGCCCCCGTTTGAATACTTGTTACGCCCTTACGTGCGTACGTCTGCGTCTTCACCTTTGCACAATGGCGATGCCCATCCATCCAACACGCACGTACGCCGATCGAATCGAATCGCCGGCGATCGATCAGTAGCCGGCCGCCACGGCGTGTGTCCGCTCCACCGGGACGGGGCCGCGGCTCCCGCTGTGGATCGCGAGGACGTAGAAGAGCTGCGTCGCCGTCAGGACGATCGTGAACGCCTCCATGGTTCCCTGAATGCCAAACTCCCAAGGTTTCAATTCACAGACCATTCTGAAAGAATTAATCTGACGAAATGGGGGGAAGAATTGATATGGCCGGGAGATCATCTTACCAGCTTCGCGTTGCGTCTGTCGAGACTGATCTCCTGGCACGCCAGCCTGCAAAATCCATCGAATTAACAAGGGCATCCAAATTTGTGTTATTATTACTCTCTCCGTTTTAAGTTATAAGACGTTTTAATTTTGGTAAAAGTCAAATTACTTTAAGTTTAACTAAATTTGTAGACAAATATAGTAATATATATAATACCAAATTAGTTTCATTAAATCAATAACTGAATATATTTTCACAATAAATCTATCTTAGGTTAAAAATATTATTATTTTTCTCTACAAACTTAATCAAACTTGAAGCAATTTAACTTTGACCGAAAGATACTAATATTATTCTACATCGTCATCAAACTCTCAAGTAAATCATGTAAGTGTAAATATATACCCCATGGCAAGGACGGTGAGCGCCCAGGCAAGCAGGCCGGTGGTCGCCGCCGGCTGCAGGGAGTAGTAGTTCCAGTGGCGGATGTGGCTGAACCCGACGAGGCCGGAGGCGATGCCGACGACGCCGGCGAGCAGCGAGAACACGACGAAGAACCCCGTTGCCCAGTTGCCGATCGGGAAGAACATCGGGTGGAAATGCGCCGGCAGCCGCAATCCCGGGCCTGCAAATTAAATCATTCACCAATGAACGAAATGATCGAATTCCCTATACTGACGAGAAACTTTTCTTTGATGAAAGCGCAAAAGGATTGCACGCCAATATATTAGAAGAAAAAAATTATATTACACAAGTACACAACGCAATCAGACAAACCAACTTATATTAGGGGAAGGGAGAAAAAGCAAAATTTAAAAAGACTAAAGAAAACTACAACGACTAAACATAACTCCAAACAGCGGGAAGATAGTGACGGAAAGATTTAATTTAGCATCTTGTATCGTTACCTAGGATGAAGCCGCGATCGATGGAGATGTTGACGGCCCAGCCGCCGATGATGGCGAGGATGACGTACATGCAGAGGTTGAGTATCAGCAGCAGCAAGGCTACGGGCTTCAGGGTTTCGGCCATCTCTGCAACCTCGCTAGTACCTGCTAATTAATTAACACGAACTGGGGTAATCTCGCTGATGATAATTCTAGTACCGAGATCAACTGCAATTCCCCTGATGCTTTCAGAAGCTGGGACTTGGCTTCCCAATTTATATGCGTCCACGGCGCATTGCAACGAGATCGGATTTGTTCTTTGCTTGCCTCTCTCCCAGGATTAAGAACAACTCACAGTGATAGCTAAGCTCAAAAAGCGATGGAGTTTGGGACTTGCTGGCGAAGGAAAGGAGCTAAGCCGAGTTCTTGGGTGTACTTTTGGTCCGTGTTGGTGTTCGTCCTCCTGATGCGGTTAGGTATGTGTACGGGTACAGACGACGCATATTCGATCGGCCATGTTCGCGGTAAATTCATCCATTGGTTGATTCTTTCCGTTGTGTTCGCCGTTCGGGGTATAGTAGACTTGTAGCTGGGAATTAAGCCCAGTTTGTGTTGGACACGGGCCGGGACGGGTCGGGCCGAGTGGGCCATCGATATACAGTACTGGGCCGTGGGGTTGAAGGACGGGAGACGAGCCACTCCCCGCCATGTCAACACGTATAATCAGGGGGCGGAGGCAGGCGTAGGGCAGCTAAGGCTTTGAGCCCTAGGCCTACCTCCAAAATCATGGCTAAATTATGTTATATCACAATGTAAATTTAAGAAAAGATAAACAACTCACTAATTAAGTTTTACTTTAGCCCTACTCTTTAGTAATTTCTAGCTCCGCCAGTAAATAATGTGGGTACTTGAAATGCTTCTTGTTTGTGTTGTGTGTTACTCCTACTTGAACCGAACTACACATCCAGCATATTTAATTACCTCGATGATATGATGAGCGTATAGTTTGCGGTGCAAGATTAAGACGCCGGAATCACTCCACTCATCTCAATGCAGCGAATCTTATGCGTTCTTTCATCGTTCTGTGTTGTTTTCGTAAGAAGCAATCGTGCGTGCGTACATGGGCCGCCTGCGCCGCCTGTATCAATCAATTAATACTAACAGTTAGGGCGGATCCAGCATGGCACGGTGGGGTCTCAACGCTCACTCAGGATTCCTAATTTGCGTGTACGCGCCGCGAGCGAGCACTTCTAGCCCACACGGCCTGTATGCGCAGTGCCACCAGCGCTGATCAAGATTTTTTTTTTCATAGCGGCATGTCTAACGTAACTAACTCTTTAAGGGTAATGATGATAATTAATGAAAGATTTTTTTTCTTTTTTGAGACTTTATTACTAATAGATAGAAAATTTTTAAGTTACATTTGAAAACTTTTGACTTAAGATTTAAACTTTGAAGTCAAATTTTAAAAACTTTCAACTTAAATTTGAAAACTTTCAACTCGAGATTTGAAACTTTCGACTCGAGATTTGAAAACATTTGACTCAGATTTGAAAACTTTCGACTCAGATTTGAAAACTTTCGACTCAGGTTTGAAACTTTCAACTCGAGATCTGAAAACTTTCAACTCAAAATTTAAAAATTTTCAACTCAAAATTAAAAAATTTTCATATAAAAATCGAAAACTTTCAACTCAAAATTCAAAAACTTTTAACTCATAGTAGTATTTGAAAACTTTTAAGTTGATATTTTGAAAACTTTCAAATCGTATTTTCAAAATTTTCAAATCAAAATTTGAAACCTTTTAACTCAAAATTTCAAAATCAATTGTTTTTATTTTTTATTGAGAAATTACTGTAGCATTTTCAATTCGTTAATCACTTTAATATAGCATCATGCGCGTTGTTTTCTTTCGAGAAAAGCGCTAAGCGCTACTAAAACGAAGGTCCGCGTGCGCGCGACTTATCGTCCTAGCGGGTACGCGCGAGCTAGCCACCCCTCTCAACCCTATGCTATTGGTGTGGGGATCATGAGAGCCCCACATAGCGTACACAAATTGTTTTGTCATATATAGATGGAAAATAGGCTATAAAACTTTGCTCTTTTTTTCAGGTCCTCATGCTATTTCTTTCTGAATCTATCACTTAGCAGCTTGATCCGTTAGTTAATCATCATGAAGGTTTACAGTTATACTAAATACTTATTGCAGCCTTAATGATGTGTCCTCCAGGTTAACAGCTTAGACGTAATCGGCCGTACGTTATGTACAGGTTAATTACACGTACTACGAAATAGGTCGTTTCACACACAGGGTGATGAGATAGAGTGATCTTGGAGCTAGACCCAATCGATCAACATCGATGCATGATATGATCGAAATAGCCTGGATTCTCATGCGTGTTGACGTGTCGTCTCTCTTGTCTCGTGCCTACCTTAATTTGTAGGAGTACTACATACTTTTGTACGTGCATGCAGTTAACAGTTAATCACACGTACACGTACGCCGTTCTGATTAATTATCGGTCGTTGATCGCACGCTACGCTTGATGTACGCATGCATATATGCTTTACTGGCATGAACATACGCAATGAAGTGTGAATCGCACTGGTCAAATTTGGCATAAACATAGATCAAATTAAGCATTTCGGCGTAAAGATTTCTTAATTCAGTTCCAAGCAGCTAGATTCCTTTTTGAAGCCTGCAGGGCACGCATTTGTTAGGAGTACGTAGTACGTACGTGCAAGGGTATCGGAGAAAATTAAAAAAAGGAAAAGAATATAATATTATTGGACCGGATGAATTCTGAAGAAACACTTGCCCAAACTTGACACACTTTGAGTGCAGAAGGAAATTAAGAGACGAAAACTGCCTTTAAGTGAAGAGAAATGTAAGATCAAAGAGTACGTCAAAGTCAACTAGTACAAATTGTACACTAATTAACCCATGGCCATGTCTGACTATCAGGCTATGTGGTTAGCACTTTGACTGCGTGTTAATTAACTAACAACTACTGTAAAGTAGGAGTAAGTACATTCAACAACTTAATTAGCTGCAAAAAAGTCATTTCTTTTCAAATTTTCTATGACAGAAATATTCTACGCAACATATTGTGTTTGCTAGTTTGGTTATGTACTCATATGCTTAGCCCAATATGGTTAATCATAATTGACATTAGTAGAATTTACTTAGTTGATTAAACTTTTGGTAATTAAAAAAAATCAATCTTCTGGTTCTTATATATGTGTCTTAAATAAGAGCAATCTCTGGTAGTTTTCAAGAAAAGAGAAATGGGGTAGTGAAAATGAGATAAAGAAAACCCCAAAATTAATCCTGAAATCAAACTCTGTAAATTCAAAATCAGCTACAGATTACAATACGAATATATAGTTTAAGATCAATTTATAATATTAATTCATAACCATTTTTTAATGATCAATTTATACATATTAATTTTTTGTGCGAACTTCTTCATATTAAAACTGAAATTACCATGCAGGCATGCACATGTGGTTTTGTAAATACTCCTGCCAGAAACCTCATCAAAAAATGGTTTTCTGCAGCATATGTTTATAAGAATTTTTATAACTAATAAGTTGGTCTTATATATACATATATAAAAAAACCTTAATAAGCTAGAAAGCAGAGAAAAGCTAGCAGATTAATAAGATTTTCAGATACGTGCGAATGCCTTAATTAACCATGAGCCAGCCCACCATACTGTAATTTAAATTCCAAGTTTCTGAAAAATACAAAAAAGTTATGTAGGTAAACATAATCTTCAGTACTATTCTTGCTGAAAATCAGCCAAACTTAATGCCAAGTAACTTTCAGAAAAGAGGATTATTTTTTTAGATAATGGAATAATCTGCCTCTACATCGTGAGACTGATATACACAGCCAACTTCAGAAAAGAGGATGTATCTGTATTTAGTAAAAGGATCAAAGACCAATCAACCAGATTATCAATCTAATTTTGTTTGGTTCTTACGCTAGACTAGCTAGATAGATATGCTACTGTTTAGCAGGTCCAAAACCCAAGAACAAATAAGTAGAAAATTCAGCAAAGTTGACTGCCGTGCGTGTCCAGACACGTAATGTACCAATGCAAGAATGTATGCCACATGCAAATGTTTTTTTTAAAAAAATAAATAGCACATGCAAATGAGTAATATGATTATGATTAATTAATTAAATTGGTGTTTAGTAACTAGCTAGTTGCTTTCCACATTCCAGTTGTAACTTTATAAGCATTCTGTTTTTTATTAAGAGCTCAAATGCATCGACTAATGCTGAAAATACCAAAGAAACAAAAGCTATATATAACGACAGCTAGAAGGCAGGTCAACCTGACCAGTTTGTGATCCACGTAATCACGAATGTACTGCAGTCGTACATATTAAGCCAATGACATTTCACAACTCCCTATATATACTAACCTAGTTATACTAAATTAGTTGATTTCTATAGAGAGAATTTTAATTTTAAAAATAATTAAAATTTGTAAATTTTATATCAATCAGTAGTTAAATTACAAGAGTATGTGCTTGGTTTCTAAAAGTAATACCTTGTCAAAAAAACACAAAAGTTATATAGACATGATTCATATTTCTGAGCAACGGTTTTACACTATATTGGTTTTCTATTGATCAAGGAAATATTTCTGAGAAATCAATTGTCAATCTTGAGAATTAACGGCCATAGCCCTCTAAAAATCAACATACCTAGCTATGTCCCAAAATATAAAATCAAAATCCCTTACATTTTTTAGCAGAGATATAGTAGCACACAAAAGCTAGTAAAAAATTAAAATCATCGTAACTAATTAAATTAAGGATGAGTTAATATAATGATTAATTAAGTACAGATCCATTAATTGGAGATGTTTCTTTTATTCACAATATATCAGGAAAAAAGAATCCATATAATATTTCTCTGTAAGGTCATGTAATTAAGCTGTACACGTACCCAAAAAAACATATAATAAGTTACAACACATTATTTCGATTTATTGATACCATAAGACCACTTATATATATGTAGTCCAACAATAATAAGAAACACATAAATAATGAGACGAACAGACGCACCGTAGATCCTTAAATTTGTATAACTTTTATCATTTTTTTTTCGTATATGTATACTTGTTTCAGGAGCTCAACAATTGCAATTTTGTAAAACAATTTGGAGTATATATATAATAGGTATGCACTCACGTCGTATATACGTACTGCCATTTTTTTTATTTCTCTGATGGATGTGTAGGAACGAATTTGTATTGCATTTCCTGCCTCGATGATCGCATGCACGCCACGTACATGAATGCACACGCCGCCGCCGCCGCCGCCGCCGTCGTCGCCGGTCGCCGGCCGGTTAGCCGGCGTAGTCGCACAGGCCGAAGCTGCACTTCTTGCTGGGGCAGCGGACGAAGCAGTCGCCGCAGTTCTTGCGGTCGCTGAGGAGGTCGACGCAGTGGCCGCCGCAGCAGGTCTCGCCGTACTTGCAGACGTGGTTGCAGCTGCCGCAGTGCGCGAAGCTGGAGCCGGTGTCGACGCAGGCGCCCTTGCAGCACGTCGCCCCGGGGCTCCCCGGCTCCAGGCACACCGACGGCGGCTTCCTCTTGCAGTCGTAGTACGACAGCGGCGGCGAGTTCTTCGCGCTCGCCAGGAACCTGCTCTGCCTCCTTCTAATGGCCGCCGTCTCGAGCTCGGCCCCGGTCCCGGTCCCGGCCGCGGCGAGGGTGAGCGCGAGCGCCATGAGAAGCACCGCGGCTGTTCTCATGGCGGCGGTGGTGGTGGCGAGCGCGGCGGTGGCGGCAATGCGTGGTGTACGAAGTTTTTGCTTGGCGAACGCCTGTGTGGAGGGAGGAAAATGGGGGAGGAAAATGGCGGGGGAGGAGTGCTTATAGCTGTAGAAAAGGCGCGAGAGGCGAAAGTCAGAGGTCATATGCAGATGCAGATGGTTGATTTGCACGGCAAAAGCCTGGAGTGCAGGGAGGGAGTGTGCGCCGCACGGATGGATAGCTGTGGACTCCGCAAGCTACCTAGCTGCTGATCGATCACCACCACAAGCTGATCAACTTTAAGCATGCTTGCAATGGCGATCTGGCTGGCTAGCTAGCTTGTGTGCGTGTCTTCTGAATTCCAGGTTTCTGAACATGTGATTAGGCAAAGCTGCATGCATGCCTGCCGATCGATCGCACACGCCCTGAAGATTAGGTAGATTAATCTGGTCGTGGCAGTTGACTAATCACCGGAATTACAGTAACAATGATGGCACTTTTAATTACGTGAAGAGCTAGCGATAGCTAGTGTGTGCTACTCTTCGATTGATCAACAAAATAATTTAGCCGTCGTCGTTTCCCTCCAGGGGCACTTTGTCGGCGCTGCCTGTTTAGACAGCAGCTGAAGGAACTCTGCATGCTGGCTTAAGGGAAAGAAGAACTGCAGTCTAGCATGTTACCGGGATCGTCTGCGATGCACGGCATACATTGGTCTAGGAGCAAATTAATAAGCTTTTAAAACAGTCTTGCGGTTGATGTTGCTGCAGCTTTAACAACACAATTGTGTTGTCATTGATGCTAAGCGTGCCAATAATTAAGGCTACCGATCGCCCTCATATTTGGCTCAGCGTGACATGTGTTCTTATGCAGTTGACATTGTGTTCTTCAGCTTAATTTGATATATACTCCCCATCTGATCTGATGAGATCCTTTCAAGTATGGAGCAGAAGAAACTAGCTAGCTTGATGACTTAACTAGACCAATTACAATATTATTACATGAAGAATTGAGAATCAAACACAGAACTACTTCCTGCAAAGCGCAGCCCATTCTTAACTGAACCTGCAATGAGTTCTTGACAATTCAGATATTATATGGCTGCCTGTACTCTGTCAATCACTAGGCCTAATTGCGCCCTAAGCTTGTGCATTGTGCTGAAGACCTTCGTGCTACTGTCTCTGTGATTGTGGTATGATCCCTACACCAGAAGCATCTCTTTTCCTAGAGAGGAGAGGAGACAGAATGAGTGCAAGTACAAAAAGGCATGTTGTACTCTGCAAATTATGTCCAGAAAAGAATCCTAATCTCAGAATTTCAGCAGGAAAAACAGGGGCATGATGTACTCTGCACTGCACTACATGGACGAGAACAAAATTAACAGGTAATTAGCCTTAAATGAAGGACGAGATTACCAGATTATAGCACGGAATATCGTGCAACAGCATAGCCCAAGGCTAAGCGATCGCTCTTCTCCCAGCAGGTGTGGCTTATGAGCTTCAGTGCACCTTGATGATGATCTCTCCCTCACACGTATCGCAGCTCGCATAGGCCGTAGGTTTTAAGAGTTAATCCCAAAAGGATAAAAAAGAAACAGGGTTGAGTTGCATTGTGAAATGATCCATGGGTTGTGGCTAGGGGTGGCAATGGGCTAGAGCCCTAGCTAGGCCATTTCTCACTCCACCTCAGCTCTTAACCAATTGGAATAAGTTCACTTTGACTCCTTTAACTAGTGGCCGAATCTGATACGTATCCATGAACTACAATACCGGATATTTCGACCCCCAACTATTAAAACCACTGCAATTTGACTCACTCGATGGTTTTGGAGGATGGTTTCACTGACGTGACGCATACGTAGAGATGTTGATTTGGTCTTCGTCCAATGTAGCATTGATGTGGCATTTGTATGGCATTAGAATTAAATATATACTGAGTGATTCTCTGCGCTTTGCTGCGGGAATACTAAGCAATTTTCAATATATTTTTTCGACAATCAAGCTAGGAGTCAAAAAAAAGAAGAAATGCGAGGGTTTATTAGTACTTATTATAAAACAAACAAATGATACCCGTGATTTAATGTGGAATATATTGATAAGTATATGTTAAATATTACAAAAAGATAGATATAATTGTTAAACTATTATGGAAATGATGTGAGGGTGATGATTAGATATACTTGTATGTTGATGTGTAGAATTAAATAGATTATAGATTATAAATGATGTTGTATGCTTGCATGAGGTTAAATATATAATTATTGCTAGTGGGTGATGATGTGGTATGGTTGCATGTTAAGCTTTAGGAGTTAGTGGACATCAACTTTATAGTAAGATAGGATATGGGACCTATTTATTATTCACACAAAAAAATGTGGGATCCACAATCATCCTCTCCTTCCTTTCTTCCTCCTCCCTCTCTCTTTCTTCTCTCTTTCTTTTTCTCTCCTCCTTTGCCGTCTGCACCGGTTTTAATAATTGTGAGTCGAGACATCCGATATTATGGTTCAGGGATATGGAACAGATTCGACCACTGGTTAAGGGGTCAAAGTGAACTTATTCCTAAATAATTTTAGCTCAAAAATCTAGACCCATCACCATCTATATTTCATAGTCCTATCAGGACTGAGCGCTAGTGCTAAAACCTACTCCGAAACTTATATGGGCCACACCTAGCTAACCACGTATCTTAAAGGTACTGTGATACTTTATCATACCAGTATCATAAAGATATCACCAATCAAATATCATAGTACGTACCTGCAAACACACGTTAGGGTATTGTATACACTAGTGGAGAAATCATCTTTGTCTGGTCGACCAAAAAACACAATAGTCTCGGATGCAGTAAAAACCGGGACTAAAGATGGTTTTTAGTCCTGGTTTATAAGTAGAAAGGTACTACGTGATCTTTAGTCCCGGTTCATATGCTGTCAGGTGTTGTCAGGCCCCTCCAGGATCTTTAGTCCCGGTTAGAGTTACGAACCGGGATTAAAGATCAAAACGCACTATATAATCCCTATTACTTATCCTCTTTTCTCATCCACTATTTTCTCATCCACACCAACTCCTCTCTCCCTCCATCTCTAATCCTTATCTCTTCCCTTCCTCCTTATCTCTTTTCCTTCTTATCCCTTCCCAACTCCTCTTCCCAACTCGATCCAGTATGCGCAGCAGGAGGGGGTGGGCGGCCCGGCCGGCGAAGGTCAGCGCGGCAGCGGCCAGCACGGAGCGCTGCGCGGCGGCCCGGCGCGGCGGCGGCCGGGGAGGAGGGGAGGCGGCAGCTGGCTCAGCCGGCCGGCGGCTTTGCTTCGTTTTTTTTCTTTTTTTTTCAAAGAATTTGTGATCCATGTATAGATTGAGATGAATAATCTGTGGTTCATTGTATGGATTGAGATGTATAATTTTTTTTTTGGAATCTCATTGTATGGATCTGAGATGTACATGATTTGTGTATTTGGGATGTTTCTTTGATTTGGGGTTTGATTTGGGATGTATAATCTGTAGTGTATATGATTGATTGATTTGTGTATTTGGGATGGTAATTTGATTTTAGGGTTTGATTTAGGAATATGCATCCCACCTAATTTGGGAGAAAATAAATTAGAGAATAAATAGTAAGTAAATGAAAAAAAAAACTATTGCCCGCTCCCATCTTTAGTCCCGGTTGGTCGATCTTTAGTCCCGGATATTTGAACCGGGACTAAAGATAGGGATCTTTAGTCCCGGATTCGTAGTCCCGATTTGAAAACCAGGACTATAAGGGAGTTACGAACCAGGACTAAAAACGATTTCTCCACCAGTGATAGTATATGATATCCTTTATGCAATTGTGGAAGTTAGTGGGCAAGCCCTACTTTAAGCTACGTTCTCTAGATCTTTTTGGCCTAGGCATTCACTTGTTTTATGCGAGCACGTTTCTTGAATTATAAATGGTGTTTTTCTTTGCAAAACTTATTGAATGCAAGTTTCTCGAAAAAAAATATAAAAAAAATCATATTAAAAAGGAAAATGAAATGCGTACTAATTTTCTTTTAGCAAACTTTTTACGAACACTGGGGTGTCACATTATGCTTGAATCTAGATTTTTTTTTGTTAGTAAGAAGTTTTTAATGTGCCTAGCACCACACTTTAAAAAAATTGTAAAGTTATTACTTAATTAATTATATTCTAATGGATTTTCTCGTTTCTTGTGTAGCTATTTGGCTACGCCTAAAATTTTAAACAAACACAAGCTTAGACTCCCACACACTACTGCACAAATAATTTTCTTGAACGAGCACCCCCAATAAGTTACAGGCGAACCATAAGGATTTGTGTCTACAATAATCGACCCACATTTTCGCACATGGCTATTTAAGAGGCCCACATGCAAAAATCTATTTCGCAGACATACCTCTTAGGGAGCCGTATACGAAAATAGAGCTATTTTTTTCCAAACAGGCCTCTTAAGTGGCCGCACGGGAAAATATATTTTCGCAAGCGGACCTCTTAAAGGTTCACCTAGAAGTTTGAGTTACCTCCTCTGTCCCTCTTAGCACTTTAATTTTTTTTCAAGTCATCCTTATCACCAATCCTCTCTCTCACCTCCTTTCCCCATACTCCTCTCTCTCTCATGACTCCCCTCCTAGGCGGCAGCGGCCGACAGGCGGGCTCATGGCGACGGGCAGCAGTGGCTAGTGGGCTCGCGACAGTGGGAATCAGTCGGACGAAAGGTGCGCGGTGGCGGTCCGGCGACTGTGGATCTAGCGTGGGGCAGCGGGAGTTGAAGCCAGCGAGGGGCGGTGGCTGTCCCCCATCCAGATCCGGCGGTGATGGCCATCCCCCGCATAGATCCGCGCGGATGCGGCGGCGGTGGCTGGAGGAGCAGGGCGGCGGCGACGAAGGCGTGAGGAGCACGATGTCGGCGGGTGGACGGGCTCTACCCGGATCCGGCGGCAAGCTGGCAACAACTGTCCCCGCTCGGATCCGTGCGGATCCATCGGCGGTGGCGGGAGAAGCACAGTGGCAGCGGGCGGCGAGCGCGCATCGACGGGCGTTTTGATTTTTTGCGATTTTTTCCTGGATTTTTGTTTTTGTGTGCAGACGACATAAGCACCCGCACACGAAAATTGTGCCACCCGTATAAAAAAAATATGATTTTCACATACACTTCCGAGCAGATGGGCTGGAGGCCCACACACGAAAATCTCTTTTGGCCGTCTGAAAAAATTGTTTATGTACTAGTGACACACAAGCATGCGTGGACTTATCTGCACGATTTTGCGACTATGCAATATGAAGAAAAGGTTACATGGGAAAACAAAGTTTTTGGGTATTCACGTGAAAACCTGAAAAATTCTGAATAAAATTTTATATACGTAGGTATATTATATATGTATATATTTAACTGGGGCTAATACTTCATTCTCAGCTTTTCTTTCCTCAATAAGTTCACTTATCCGGCGGGCACTTTTCCTGCTGCATTATCTTTATATATTTTTTGATGAATTTTATCTATATTTGCTGAGCGAATTACTCAGCCCTAAAATCCTGCGTCCACTACGAGTCGCATGGGGGCCTATATATGCAGAGCGATGCCACGACGTTTGAAATGGTGCGTAGCTCTATAGTTTTTCAGTCTCGTTAAGCAGTACTTTCTCCGTCCCAAAATATAACTTGTAGCCCTCAAGATTTATCTCAAAATATAACCAATTTATCCACCAACATTCTCTTCCCAACCAATCACAACCCTCCACCATTAACTTTTTCCCACCTACCTTCACTATTCATCCAATTACAACGCCCTCCACCACTCATTTCTATACTTTCTTAATAACCGTGTTCTGAACGGAGGGAGTAGTTGATAATTAGGTTGTGTATTGCCTAATTAATTTTATGCGCCTTTAATTTACTGCGTCTTTTGTTAGTCGATCACAGGGGATGTTTCGTCCGGTGAGGCGTCGCTGCAGGCGGCCGGCGGCCGCACCAACCGCCGGCCAAGCACGTGCACCGGCGGCGCACAGCCCATAGCCGCCATGGATAAAAAAAATTCAGAGGAAAAACAACACAGGGAAAGGTCACAAGCTAGTATGGGAATATATATGGATTAGGTTTGGATTGGGGATCATTTGTATGTTTCTTTGGAAAGAGATTTGATTAATTGCTTTTCTTTCTTTAATTTGGACCAGGCAGTGACGTTTGCAGTAATCGCAATCTGTTGGTTCCATCTTATCTCATCACCTGTCCTATATCTAGGGGAGCTGTTCATCAGCTGAGATTCCCATCATCTCGCAAAACTACAAGCAGCTCAGCTCGCAAATTAACTGTCGGCCATGGCGGCTGCTGGTGAAGAAGCTTCAGGAGGCGGGGACAAGTACCGGTCGTTCATGTACGGCGAGGGGGAGAAGGACACCGTGTGGAGGCTTGGATCCCCTCCAAACTACGACGTCGTCAACAAGCTCTTCGAGGAAGAGAGAACCAAGGTAACTAATTAATTTCACGATGAACACTACTCGTCAGAGTTCATAGCTAAACGCCGAAGAGATCGAAGCAGATATTGTGATTAAGTTGAAAGCATTGTTGACTTGTTGTGCACTTGTCATTAATTAGGAATGGCCAGAGGGGTCTCTGGAGGAGAAGGTCCAGAGATTGCTGAAGACCTGGGAGATGGAGCTCGTCCACAAGGTGCGACCAGAGGACCAGAAGAGTGTCCACTCGCAGAAATTCTGCTCCAGCACCAATGGTGAGTGCTCATCAATTATATTCACGCACAGAGAGTACGTGCAGTAGTAGTATTAATAATACTAATAATAATAATAATAATAAACCATTACCGTGTCAGGGATGAGGTTTCTGAATCGGAAGGATTTGATGGCCATCGGCAGCTACAACGCGTTCTTGCAGACGAAGCTGCCACCGGAGCACCGCATCTACGACCCGGACAAGGAGACGCTGGAGTCCGGCATGGCCACCTTCCTGACGGCGTTCCCGCGTGGCTTCGCCATCGAGGTGCTCGACGTCTACAGTGGCCCACCACGGATCGTCTTCAAGTTTCGGCACTGGGGGCACATGGAGGGCCCCTTCATGGAGCACCCGCCCCATGGCGAGCGGGTTGAGTTTTTCGGCATTTGCATTTTCCATGTAAGCAAAATATTATCTCTGTTTTTAAAATATGATAATATTGACTTTTAAACATGACGTCTGATTAATCATCTTTACTTATTATGTTATTATTATTTATTTTGTCTTCACTTGTTTTATCGTTATAAGCATATATTTTAAGCATGACTTCTATTTTTACATATTTACTCCGAATCTTTAAATAATATAAATAATCAAACGTCATATCCAAAAGTTAATAGTGTCGTATATTTAGAAATAGAAGGAGTAGTACATACTAATTTGTCTACAATTACTAGCTGCCAGTATATACTGTATTTTAACTTTTTAAGGGGGAGTTTATACTTATCATTAGAAATTGAAATCTAAAATACCTTCCAATTGATAACAAGACCTTATATTGGTCACCTGGATTTAGAAGTGCGTAACCCTGACAAGGTTCTGGCGGTGTGGCATTAGGTTGACGAGGAGATGAAGGTTGAGAAGGCGGAATTCTTCTACGAACGCGGCAATTTCCTCGCGAGCTTCTTGAGCGCGCCTGCTGCTGCTGCTACTGATGCTGCGTCAGGCTCAGGATGCCCTGTCATGGGAGGAAATTAACTGAACTGAAGCACTGAGGAACCAACACAACATGTCACCCATTTGAAAATGTATCGGATTACCAACAGATCCGCACCTGCTTTTAATTTTATTTCATGCTACATTGCTACTCCTTTATTAGTAGTACTATAAATAAAGACTCATTGTTTGTATGGTATGAAGTATAAACACCACATGGGTGGTGGGTACATGTAGCTAGAGTTGTTCTACTTGATCTTTTGGCATGGCACTAAGCTACATGGACATGGTTTAGCCAGCAAAGTACAAGTCTTATGAATATCAGTTCTACTCCCTCCGTCCCATCTTAAGTGGAGCTATGGTTTTCCGCGTTTAACTTTGATCATCCGTCTTATTTAAAAAAAATTAAAAAAAATATATAAAAACATAAGTCACGAGTATAGTACTATTCATGCTTTATCATCTCATAAAAAATACTAATTATAAAAAAATTTTAAATAAGACGAACGATTAAAGTAAAACTTATGGTTGTAATTAAAATTAGACGGAGGGAGTACCTTATTTCGAGCAAAACATCCACCACCTGTTGACTTCCAATCCTCCATTGTTGCATGTAGCATGTGCATGTATATTGTATACTGTCTTTACCGAACTTAATTTATCGGAGCATCCCGGTTGATAGCTGCACGTACCATGCTCAATCACCCATTTAAGTATGGTACCGCGCTTCCCAGTACATATAAAATCCTTCCTTTGCCTGAAACAATTCCGCTAGCCAAATCAAGCCAGCCAAGTATCATAGGAGACATGAGAAAAAAGCACTTTACAAATCACTCGTTGGGTCAGGGATGCTTATAAGAAATCAGTAGCTAGCATAGCAGACATGAGAAAAAACTTTACAATTAAATCACTCACTGGGTCGGAGGATGCTTAATTGCTTATAAGAAATCAATAGCTAGGGTTCATAGTTCTGGAACAGCTTTTTCTACATGCCTAAAAGAAAGAGTTGGGTTTGGGACAAGACAAGCAAGGGCGAAAATTCACAGGCTATCCCAACTGCTTTACCTGATGTCTCTACTATTCATTTTACGTCAAGAGGGCGCTATTACTTCACAACTAAATCCAGGAATAGTCATTTTTCCGACTGCAGCATCTCACTAAGCAAATTCAAAGCACAAATATATAAAAGTACCTTTACGATTAGTAGTAGAATCACATGAACCTCAATGTCCTTGGTCCTTGCCCTATTCATTCATGCGTGGAAACAAAGGTTTTGTTAAAAAAAATTATATATTCATAGCATGTAATCCCTTCATTTTTAATCCTTCATCTCTCATCTAGATTTAGTAATGTTCATATGAATTTGGACAAATATAGAAAACACATATGTATGATTTATTCAAAACCTAAACGTTAAAATAGAGGGAGTAGTTATCACGAGAGATAAGAGGCAGGGAGAACAACTTTGTGCCTTGTGAGTACTACATTCATAACTTGGATGTTGCTGACAATATTGTTCTTAAATCCTCAGTGACGGAGCTGGTGGCTCCTCACCGGGAGACCGCGCAGGCCCCCCTTTGCCAGTTCGGCCGGGGGCTTAGGGTGAAATCTCAAGCTCTCGCTCTCTCTCTGTATGTGGAAAGATCGTCTGCCAGCCAGAAACACGAGACACCGGCGATCTATACAGGTTCGGGCCGCTGAGAAGCGTAATACCCTACTCCTGTGTTTTGGTGGATCTGTGTATGAATGGGCTACAAGTGTGAGCTGACTTCTCCCCCGTTCTAAGCTCACAATCTGGAAAAGAATCCAAAAGCCCCTTCTCTATGGGCAAGGTCCTCCTTTTATACTTCAAGGGGATACCACATGCACCCTTCTCTTCCCAAACTGGACTGTTCTTTTTCTCTTGAATGGGCGGAGATCAGCACGGTTGCTGTCCGAATGACGCTCCGATGGGACAGCCCACACCTACCTCCACTTCCGCCGGGGGTGAGCGCATCGTGGGAACATGGCTGTGCGCTGACGATATGGTCAGTGTCAGACCGGTCACAAATCGGTCATTCTTGTCCACCGCGTGTAATCTTGGCAACGTGCATGTTTGCCCTTCTTCACACAACATCTTGCTTGTAATGGTTAGGATGAAGCCTGGCATATATCGATCGGGGCTAACGTGTCATCTCTAAGAGATAACACGCTTAACTCCGGCTTGAGACGAGTGCCTAGAGGCTTTCGTCTTGACGGGATGGGGCAAGGCGTGCGCCAGACCGCCAGTCGCCACCTAACCCGTGATATGACCGGTCTGTGACTGGTCACAGACCGGATAAAGGAACGCGCCGTACTGCACTGCGTACAGCGTGATACGCCTGACCAGACTGCATTAAATGCTGTTAGGTGAGCACAGCTGTGCTCACTTATCCCATATATGTGGCGCAGACTTCCTAAAGGGGGTCGGGGTGCCCCGGCCCTCGGGGCCAGGGCAAGCGCAGCCCGACCCCCCCTCGGGGGAAATCAGGAGGAGGGCGGACACCTCACCCTCGGGCCCGACGTCCCCGAAGGTGCCAGGCCACGTGGGCGATTGTGTCTGCCTCAAGCCTCTAGTCATGATACTCCCGGTCCCATATCACCGACAGTAGCCCCCGGCGTTATGCCAGAGCAATTTCCCTTCCCAAGGGAAGCGGTCAGGTGTGACGCCACTCCTAAAGCCTGGTGACAGGTGGGACCGGTCTGCATAGTTGGGCAAAATCCCCAACGGTCCCAGTCCATACATATTGGTATTGGTAACTTTGGTTGTCCATAATGGGCGGTCTATTCAAGACTGCCACATTACCTGAGCAGCGCACGAATCTGGGCGAGCCGATTTGCTTCGCCTGGAGATATGGTGATGGTGCTTTTCTCGGAGCCATCAGAATAGCGTATAGCATCTTCTGGGCCCGAGGGTATCGGGTTTTGGCGTCCCGGAGGGCCTCACTAACAAAGTAGACGGGCCGCTGCACCTTTCGGCGGGGCCGATCCTCTTCGCTAGGGGCCGCATCTCCAGGGCGCTCTTCATCCGAGAGGCAGCGCGGGGCGCCCTCGGCTTCTGCGCCGATATCCTCGGGGTAAGAGGGCGACAGGCGCGGCCTTCCCGCAGTGGCCCCGAGGCTATCCTGAGGGTCGGGGGCGCCTGACACCGTCGGACAAGCAGGCGGAGGGCCAACTCCGGCCGTCGGGGGCCTTGGGCCGCCGTTCGGCTTGGGGGCCTCTCGGACCCTGACTTCTCCCCGTGGGCGGCGCTGGAAGAGTTCCCTTTCGGAACCGAGGACGGCGCACGCGCGCAGGTCCGGGACGCCGCCGACCACATCGTCCACAGCTTCGAGGGTACGGCCCCTCGGCTCGCGTTCGCCCTCGACTCCGACGAGGAGGGCGGCGACGGTGGTGCGGACGACAGCGACGACAAGGCTGGTGACCCGGGCGCGTCGGAGTGAGCCCCCAGGCCCCCGCCAATCTTGAATAGCTTTTTCTTTCTTCTTCCGAGGCCTTCGGGCCCCCTTCTTGTATAGACTAATTTAATCTGCAACCAAATAAAGAGGAAATTTCTATGTCAATTCTATTTGTGGTGTGTATGAGACGAGGATGGTCTGTGCCGCGGTCCTTCTGTGTCTTGGCTTGATCAAGGGCTCGTGCCCAGGTCCTAGTCCTCAAATGGCTCGGGTCGGGGCTAGTGCCTGGGGAGATCCACATGTCGAGACTGGCCAGGCCGGGAGCGTGGTGACCGAGGGTTATGGGTGACCCGATTGTGGGTTTTTGCCGATTCCCCCCCGGAGTTCACCACGCCCCGGGGCACGGCTCGGTTCTGGGCCCCGTTTGGCGATTTTAGCTGACCGAACCGAGCCCCCGAGGGCAAGGTTGAGTACGAGTGACCTTATTTCAAGTCAAGATTCTTCAAAAGGAAAAAACGGCACAGACACAGTCCTTTGGAAATCGAAAATGCTTTTATTGAAATACGGAAGAGAAAAGAGATAAGCCCCCGGCCAACCCTGCACGCCCGGGGGGGTGCGGGGTTGGCCCGAGCCCAAGACCTGACACCCGACCCCCACTAGGGGTAGAAGCGACGAAGGTGTTCGATGTTCCATGGGTTAGGCAGCTCTGTGCCGTCGCCCGTGGCCAGCCGAACGGAGCCCGGCCGGGGGACGCCAATCACTCGATACGGACCCTCCCACATTGGTGAGAGCTTGCTCAATCCAGCACGCGTTTGGACGCGGCGTAGGACGAGGTCGTCGACGCAGAGTGATCGGGCCCGGACGTGGCGCTGATGGTAGCGCCGCAGGCTCTGCTGGTAGCGCGCGGCTCGAAGGGCCGCGCGCCGCCTTCGCTCTTCCAAGTAGCCGAGGTCAGGGAGCGTCGGCCTCTTTCTTTTTGTCGCTCGCAGGCCTCCCCTTTCGGGTGGCCCGCGGAGCGCCCTCGACGGCGAGGACATGACCCTCGTCGCCGGAATGGACCGACCTCTTCTTCCTCCTCCTGTCACGCCGCCCTGTCTGAGCGGCGGATCCGGGGGCGGCCGAAGCTGCCACTCCGGAACCGGAGGAGTTCCATGTCCACGCTTCCTCCTTACGAGCCACTCGGTCCGCGAGCTGAAAAAGCTCCGCGGTGGTCTGGGGCTCTTTGGAAGCGATCTTTTCGAGCATGCGGTTGTGCCGCACGCCCCCCTGAACGCGTAGATCACCGCGTGTGCAGGGATGCATGGTATAGTATTGCGGACTTGGCAAAACCGCTGAATGTACGAGCGAAGCGACTCATCATCGCCTCGCTGTACTGCATGCAAGTCCGCTTCTTCGCCTGGGCGCGGATATGTGCCTTGGAAGTTCATGGTGAACTGTTGGCACAGATCCTCCCAGGAGTGGACCGACGCGGGTGGCAAGTTCATCAGCCAACCCCGCGCCTGTCCCTTTAGGGCCATGGGAAAGAAATTCGCCATGACCCTGTCGTCACCCCCAGCGGCCTCGATCCCGGTCGTATAGACCTGGAGAAACTCGGTGGGGTTGACGCTCCCATCGTACTTCTCGGTGATGGTGGGCCGGAACCTTGGGGGCCAACGGACATTCCGAAGACTCGCCACAAAGGCTCTACAGCCGACACCACCAGCCGGGGGCACGGAGGGCTGATCCTCACGTCCATGTCGAGGTGACACTCCGGACGAGGAGGCGCCCTCCGTTGCACGGGGAGTACGCCGGTTATTACGCCGGCGCTCGATGTCGAGGCGGGCATCCGGCTCCCCATGCTGATCCTCCCGAGTTGGAGGTGTCGACGAGGGAGTGGCGGCCGAATGACGTGCAGCCGCCGCCGCTCGCCGCGCCCTCCGCCTTGATGACACGGAGCCGGTGGTAGCGGCGCCGGAGGTCTTGGTGGTGGTGGCGGACCGTCCACCAGCACCCAGGCGCTGCTGTGCCGTCATGACCAAGTTGGCCACGTCTTCCAGCCATCGTTGGGCTGGAGACTCCGGGTCATGGACGACAGGCGGGTGTCGTAGGAGCGCGCCAGCAGCCTGAAGCGCACCCTGAGGTGTGCTGCCGTCGCCGTAGACGAGGAGGCGACGCTCCCCATCTCGCCGTTCTCCTGCATCACCTGCGGCTGGTGACGCCGCGGATTTGTCGACCCTCTCAAGCGCCTCCCCCTGCTTAGGGCTTTGGCGCGGAGGAGGTGGAGGAGTACGAGCTCGACGGCGCGGATTCGGCTCCCCGTCGTCGCCGCTCACACTCGGCGAGAGGTCGTGTGTTTTTCCTTGCTCGGCCATTAGGCTGAACAAGAAAAACTTGGGGCACACGGAAGAGTCTGAGAGCTCAGAAAGCACACGCTGAGCCCCCTACCTGGCGCGCCAGATGACGGAGCTGGTGGCTCCTCACCGGGAGACCGCGCAGGCCCCCCTTTGCCAGTTCGGCCGGGGGCTTAGGGTGAAATCTCAAGCTCTCGCTCTCTCTCTGTATGTGGAAAGATCGTCTGCCAGCCAGAAACACGAGACACCGGCGATCTATACAGGTTCGGGCCGCTGAGAAGCGTAATACCCTACTCCTGTGTTTTGGTGGATCTGTGTATGAATGGGCTACAAGTGTGAGCTGACTTCTCCCCCGTTCTAAGCTCACAATCTGGAAAAGAATCCAAAAGCCCCTTCTCTATGGGCAAGGTCCTCCTTTTATACTTCAAGGGGATACCACATGCACCCTTCTCTTCCCAAACTGGACTGTTCTTTTTCTCTTGAATGGGCGGAGATCAGCACGGTTGCTGTCCGAATGACGCTCCGATGGGACAGCCCACACCTACCTCCACTTCCGCCGGGGGTGAGCGCATCGTGGGAACATGGCTGTGCGCTGACGATATGGTCAGTGTCAGACCGGTCACAAATCGGTCATTCTTGTCCACCGCGTGTAATCTTGGCAACGTGCATGTTTGCCCTTCTTCACACAACATCTTGCTTGTAATGGTTAGGATGAAGCCTGGCATATATCGATCGGGGCTAACGTGTCATCTCTAAGAGATAACACGCTTAACTCCGGCTTGAGACGAGTGCCTAGAGGCTTTCGTCTTGACGGGATGGGGCAAGGCGTGCGCCAGACCGCCAGTCGCCACCTAACCCGTGATCTGACCGGTCTGTGACTGGTCACAGACCGGATAAAGGAACGCGCCGTACTGCACTGCGTACAGCGTGATACGCCTGACCAGACTGCATTAAATGCTGTTAGGTGAGCACAGCTGTGCTCACTTATCCCATATATGTGGCGCAGACTTCCTAAAGGGGGTCGGGGTGCCCCGGCCCTCGGGGCCAGGGCAAGCGCAGCCCGACCCCCCCTCGGGGGAAATCAGGAGGAGGGCGGACACCTCACCCTCGGGCCCGACGTCCCCGAAGGTGCCAGGCCACGTGGGCGATTGTGTCTGCCTCAAGCCTCTAGTCATGATACTCCCGGTCCCATATCACCGACACTCAGCGACAACATCAATGAACTCAACAGTGTTTCAGATACTTATCTAGGCTAACACTGTACATTTTCAGGAGAATCAATCAAAGGTCTTCTATATTTATTACCCCATTTATCACACGCTATAAGGCGCAAATGTATTTTAGATTCAACTCTTGAAATATTTAACTAAAGATTAGTCTAATATAAATTAAATTTTATTTGATAAAATAATATCATTGATTGATATTTGAATTTACTTTCCTATTGTTACCATTTATTAATACTTTAAAAGTTTGATTAAAATTTTCTAACCGAATTTTCAACTGAAAGTTTTATTTAAAATTTAAAATTTTGGACTAAACTTTCAGCTCATAATTTAAAACTTTCGATAAAAAACTTAAAACCTCCCGCCCTGGTCTATTGGGCGTGCAGGAGTCTAGCTCCTTCACCAATCAAATAGATGTGTGCACAAACCATCTTATAATATGGAACGCCGGGGGTAGATTTGTAAGAGTAGTACGTATATAAACGAGGGATGGGATGATCCTACTTTTAAAGAGACCTGGCCAACTCGAATCTTAACGAAATATTCCCTGTTAAGGACCATCCCATCCCGCATGTCTCTGTACCAAACACCGTGAAAAATGAGATCAACCCAACGCATGCTTAGAGGAATATTCCTCTTAGATCCAGGTCCAAACCACTTGCAAAAATCTAGCAAACAAGCTTGACCCACTTGGGTCGAGTGCACGGCGTGAGCCACACTATTCTTCCACTGCTTGAGCGTCTGCACCGCCCGCCTGCGCTATGCACTCCGATTGTCGATCGCCGCGCGCTCGCGGCGACTCACCCGGTTGCATCGTTCGCCCATGCTGTGCCACTCCACGCTTGCCCACGCAGCTCCTTGCCCGCTGTTCGCCCATTCACACCGCTCCTTGCCCGTCAGTTGCCAGTCGGCCGCCTATCTACATCATGCCGCTCCTCGTCCCAACCACGCCACTCACCAGCCCTCCTCCAGCAGCTACTTGCCTCCTTCATCTGCCAGATTCCGCCGCTACGCCCACCACCTGGTTGCTGTCGAGCTCTAGTGCTCTACCACGTCGTCGGAACTGGACGTGGACTGACGGTAGCTGCAAAAGTTTCACATCCCATCCCACCCTCATTCCTTCCACTAAAAAGAAAAAAAATTGAATCATCCCATCCTATAAATCAAACAGTTGAGTGAGATCGTACCATCCCTAGAATCAAGGACAAGTTCAACCTATCACATCTCGCTTCTAAACCAAACACACACTGACAGAACAGAGGGCCCTGAGGATTCGGCTCCTCTGCCTTTAGGGGCTAAAGACTGAGGCGCATAGCAAAATGAGTTTGCCGCTACAATATAAAATATTAATTTTGCAGTTATTTACTGTAGATACAGTATAAAAAGTAAAACGTATTGTGCCAAGGTACTGTTCATGATGTATTGTATTATATGTAGCAATTAATCACATTCGTTCGCTATAAATCCGATGGTTGAGAATAATTTAAAACCCTAAGGGCTTGTTCGGAATAGAGGGATTACACAGGATTCTTGTAGGATTGGCAATTCCTTTGGATTTGGCACTGTTTATGCATTCGGTTCATAGGAACCATGCGTAGGAATTTCGTAGAAATACTGTAGCAACCTTGTGAAAACATAGGAATTTCATAAGATTCTAAACATCCACTCACACCTCATTTTTTTCATTAGCTATCATGGGATAGATGCTAATCACGTTGAAGTGACTAGATGGGAACTAATATTTTATTGCTTAATTATACTATAATATACTACCTCAATGCATGAATGTATGACGTTGGTTAGTTCAATTTTGAGCTAACCAACGTCAAACAAAAAAATATGGAGGGAGTATGAGATTAATACTAATTGAAAAATTCATGTGGTTTATATATTCTTGTGTTCCGAATGCTTCATAGCATCAAATTCCTTTTCCTATCCTGCGATCCGAACAAGCCCTAAATTCTGAGGATCCCAATCCGGGCCATGACCGCCTCCTATCATCGGACGGCTATAGTGGTCCAAAGCTGACGTGGCCAAGACTGGCCCACATGGCCCATGTAGTCCGTCCTGGACCGAGTCCACGGACGGCGCGGCCGAACGCCCGCGCCGTGTCTGCTTATGATGCTTCGTTCTCTCCGCGCTCCGTGTCCGACCTTCTTCAGACTTCACACCTCGCGCGCCGCCGCAGCTCCGATCGGAAGAAGCTCGATTCGTCTCCGACTCCGACGACCAGAAGCTACCGGCGACGCGAGCGGAGAAGCGCGGAGGGGAGGGGGCGCGCGCCGCCATGGCGTTCGAGAAGATCGTCGTGGCCAACCCCGTCGTCGAGATGGACGGTGAGAACCCCCACCTCCCCTCTCCTTCCCCCCCGCTTCCGATCGGAACTCGCTCGTGATTAGCCTCGCTATCTCCGCTGATATCTACGGGGGGAGCCTTTGCCTCTTGTCTGGTGCCGTGATTGCTTTGGTTCTGCTATACCATTGGTGGTGGGATGGATTAGGCTGCTCTACGTACTGGATCTAAAATTTGTAGGTGTTTGGAGGAAGAAGGGGAGTCGTCCTGAGTAGAACGTGCGGCTGAAATTAGCTAAATGGTCCTGTTTTGTGGGAACAGAGTTCAACACATTTGATGTGCTGAAAGCTGCTCTACTTGGCCTTTCTGAAATTCTAGGTGTTACAAGGAATAGTGGTAGTCATCCTTAGGCGTAGAAAGTGTGCTGAAATTAGTTAAATAGCCATCTTCTTGGGAGGACAAAATGTTCAACCTTAGATGCGCGGAATAGTCGGTTTTAAAGGGTAAATCTAAAATAACTGTTTTAGTGCATTGTCATTGGTAAAAAAGAAAAGATTATTCATGTGAAGAATATAGTAAAAAAATAAAGAATAAAATTGAACCCACAGCATCGCTTAGTTACAAGTTCCAAGGTGAACTGTATCAGTAAACACATATGCCAATTTCAGAACTTATCATCTACAATGTTCAAGTGGGCTGAAAAGTTTTTCTGTTGACAGTCTTTCTGCTTCATTTGAAGTTCTGTGCTGAAAAGTTCCATCATCGAACTTAAGTAACTTTAAATTGCATATTTAGAAAGTATACCATACTTTTGGCTAGCCCAATCATCCTTTGCTTACCTCAGATTGTAGTGGTTATATATGACTGTATGTGCTTTTTACTTAGGTGATGAGATGACTCGAGTTATTTGGAAATGGATCAAAGATAAGGTCAGGTTCTTGTAACAATATATGTTTTTTATTCTTGATTTTGATGATTGTTTGTCTAGCATTGTACTCTGCAGCTCCTTTTTTTTTCACGTTACATGTTCATTTTTTTTACTTTGTTATGCTTTTGGTGCTGCTTCATCCCTTAATGCGGGCATCGTTAAGAATTATGTTGGATATCTGTTTTGATCATGCAGCTTATATTCCCTTTCTTGGACTTGGACATAAAATACTATGACTTAGGTCTACCTAATCGTGACGCTACTGGGGACAAAGTTACAATAGAGAGTGCAGAAGCGACCCTAAAGTAAGCCTGTAAGCCTCAGTTGTTTGACGTCACAGTTCTGGTCCATTATTTCTTCTATTACTTTTTTCCATCTAAGTTATGCTTTTGTTATATAATTGGTGCTTTAAGCTGAACCTGTTTACCCTGTAGTCTCAGTTAGAATACATAATGTTTACTTTTTGTGATTTCTATTATAACGTTTACATTAGGTTGCTTCAGTATTCTATTTTTTTTTCAGGTATAATGTAGCCATCAAATGTGCAACTATAACTCCAGGTGATGTTCAGCAGAATTGAGCTCATTGACAGATGAGCATGATGTGTTAACAAGTAGTTTTGGACACTCAATTTAAATTTGATTTTGGCCGCACTATTCATGAGCCTACAGATGAAGGACGCGTGAAAGAGTTTAATTTAAGTGCAATGTGGAAGAGTCCAAATGGGACAATAAGGAACATTTTGAATGGTAAACCTTTAATTGGTCACATGTCTATATGGTTCTATTTTGAACTTTCATCAAGTGCAGCTGTTGCTGTTCTCTTATACTTACTTCAGCAGAACTAATTGACTCCTGCAGGAACTGTTTTCCGAGAACCAATCATCTGCAAGAATATTCCTCGGCTTGTACCTGGTACGAAGTCTGTATCAAAAATACCGATAGTAGAATTCATTGGTAGTTACACTATTTTTTTTATGCTTCCAGGGTGGATAAAGCCCATATGCATTGGACGACATGCATTTGGTGATCAATACCGAGCAACAGATACAGTTATTAAAGGTCCTGGGAAGTTGAAGTTAGTATTTGGTATGTCTCAATAAAGCTAATGTCATGATAGTGGCTGCAGATCTGAACTTGTAGCAGCCAGGATTAAATTAATATTTAGCTTTGTCTCCCTAGTGTTTATCCTACTAGGAATGACAAGGACTTCTACCTTTTCTTTTCATATGGGCATCATTGGCTTTGGCTATAGAAAAGCTGTTCTAAAAATTTGGGGCTTAATTATTTGTATAGTCATCATATGCCACCATATTGGCAAATAGACTTGGTAATCATTCTTGTCAGTTTATTTACTTCAGAACCTATTAAATGGTTAATAGCCTGATATATGTTAATGCTGAGCAGCGAACAGAATATGTTTTTTTTTTATGGCAGATCAATATATTGACCCGGCTTTAGAAAAAAGCCCAAGAACAAAAACAGAGTCTTATACAAGACCTGGAAAATAAAAGAAACACAAAGAGATAGCTGGGGAACAACCAGTTTTTCAGAGACAAAAGGAACGTACTCCCAACCTAACCACACCCTTACAGAAAAAACTGAAACTCAGACTAAAGTAGCTATTCTATAGCTATGCAGGTAGCACATGAGGCCTGACTTGATTCAGCTTTATCCTGATTGCTTCACACCATCCTCCCAGCAGCTCCTGGTCTTCCTCCTTTAGCAAAATGCGCCACTTCTGTATGAAAGACAGCGATTTATAAACCACATAAAGGGGAGACTTGACAAGAATATTTTCAAACACCCAGTCGTTTCTAATGATCCAAATAGCCCAACAAACCCCCCCAATTAAAGAGATCCAAGGTTTAAACTTTTTCCTATCTTTGAGCAGACTCATACACTCCCATAGATTATTAGGTAAAGAAACCAGATTCAAAGCATCCCTAATAACACACCAACCAAAAACAGCTAAGGGACATTTAAACAAGATATGATTAGTAGTTTCAGTTTTGCCACAGAGCTTGCAATATTGACCAATTTAAACAGAATATGTTTCTGTCAGTAAGAAGAGCTTTTATATATGTAAACATACTTCACTGATTTGTGGTGTCATCACATCAATATCCAAGCATCAGGGAATAAGCTTAGTCAGTTTACTAAAATTGCTAACTATAAATTAACCTTTGTGTCAATGTTATCCACTCATCCTTACACTATCTTCTCCTCAAAACTGGTATAGATGGCAGAGAGGAACAAATAGAGTTGGATGTGTTCAACTTTACTGGTGCTGGTGGAGTAGCCTTGTCTATGTATAATACTGACGAGGTTTGTTTATGATACCCTTTATCAGGGTAGCTTAATTTTGATACTCTGTATTTTTAAACAGGGTTTTAAACTTGACAACCTCTATTTTATGTTTGTTGCAAATAGTCTATTTGGGCATTCGCTGAAGCTTCCATGAACATGGCTTACCAGAAAAGATGGCCACTTTATCTTAGCACCAAAAACACGATCCTCAAAAAATACGATGGAAGGTCAATAGTCAATCGTCGTATGCTATTTGTTTCTTTTAATAGACATGTATGTCCATATTGAAATATTACTTTTATATATCAGGTTTAAAGATATATTTCAGGAGAACTATGAAACAAAATGGAGAGCCAAGTTTGATGATGCAGGAATATGGTACAGCTATCTTCTATCTACCTTACTGTAGGAACATGGAGCCTTATTTTCCTCCTTTATGTCCTAATCATTTCTGCTGTGGCAGGTACGAACATCGGCTGATTGATGATATGGTGGCCTATGCCCTTAAGAGTGAAGGTGGCTATGTTTGGGCTTGCAAGAACTATGATGGAGATGTGCAGAGCGATCTAATTGCTCAAGGTTTTTGCTTATTATATGTGTATACTCTCTTCTGACCTTTTATTTGGAGAAAAATGAAGTCTTTGCTAAGAGCAGGATGATTTTACTTGTACAGGTTTTGGATCGCTAGGTCTAATGACATCAGTTCTGGTGAGTGTTCTCCCTGCTGAACTGTTATCTGTTTATCTGAAAGTTCAAATGTAGAACAATTGTTAATGCTATCTAGAACAATTGTAGATTCCAATATGCTGATGGTGTAACCTCTATTTAAAAAATATGTTCTGATTAGATTAATCTTCTGAATTTAACAAATAAGTTCTGCATTGCCTTAGGTGTGCCCTGATGGTAGAACCATTGAAGCTGAAGCTGCTCATGGTACAGTCACACGCCATTACAGAGTTCACCAAAAAGGAGGCGAAACTAGTACAAATAGCATTGCTTCAATATTTGCTTGGACAACCGGACTAGGACATAGGTATGAGCTTGAATTAAACCATAGTAACTAAGATCGATGAGCTTGCTTTTCACTTAATTAGTTTGGCTCTAAATGATGAAATCTATATGCTCAGTTTTCCCATCATGGTTAATGCTATTCTATTGTAGTACATCATCTTTTAGTCCTTTTGTTAGTGCTCAGAGCAGAAAATTTTGTCATCTAAAAGTTAGGGAGAGTTTCTGTTCTTAAAGAAATTTATTCTGCTCCTTATATTTCCTGCTTTTTGTTGTAAATATTAAGTATGCTACATAAATAATTAAGAGTTGTAAGTCTTGTGACTTGACTGTTGAACACACCACAACAGGGCAAAGCTCGATGACAATAAAAGACTGTTAGATTTTGTACAAAAACTTGAAGCTGCTTGTGTGGGAACAGTGGAATCTGGAAAGATGACAAAGGATCTAGCTCTTCTTGTACATGGGCCAAAGTAATTCCTACTTCTCTTATTTATTCTGTAGTAATAATAGACAAGACCTTTTAATTGATTCTGTTGGAATTGTACAGTGTTAGCCGAGATAAGTATCTTAACACTGTTGAGTTCATCGATGCTGTTGCTGAGGATTTAAGAACAAGATTGTCAGTAACATCCAAGTTATGAAGGTATCTCTTACAAGCTGTTCGACCTACCTCTTACCTTATCTGACACAAGTATCTGAAGACTGTTATGTCACATAAACTTTCTTTTACACAGGAATGAATAGGGCAACGGCAGGGGACATGTTAGGATCCCATGATACAAAGTTTATACATTTTTACTTTGAATAAGAGCGATTGAAGCATTGGTATGCGCAGCTATCAACCACGGTGCTCTGATAAAATCTGGTAAAGATTGTATGCATACTCCATACAACAATGGAGGTGGAGGAGGATATTTTGCTCGAAATAAGAAGTTTGAACTTTTATTCGTCAGACTTCTACTTATAACTACTTTGATGATTAAATCATGGCCGTGTAGCTTAGTTCTTCTATGCCAAAAGAGCAAGTAGAACTATCCTAAAGGTACCCACCACAAGTGGTGTTTGTGCTTTGTACCATACAAACAAGACTGTTTATTTACTACAGTATATAGCTTGGAATAAAAAAGCAGGTGCAGATCTGTTGGTAATCTGGAGTAGGACATTTGAATGGGTGACATGCTGTGTTGGTTACCCATTGCTTCAGTTTCCTCCCATGACAGGGCATCCTGAGCCTGACGCAGCCTCAGCAGCAGCAGCAGCAGCAGGCGTGCTCAAGAAGCTCGCGAGGAAATTGCCGCGCTCGTAGAAGTACTCCGTCTTCTCCACCTTCATCTCCTCGTCGACCTAATGCCGCATCGCCAACACAGAACTGTCAGTGCTACGTATATAAGTGGTGGTTATCGATGGGAAGACTTGAAAAGGGTTCAAAACTCCGAATTTACAATCTTTCTGGCTGGTAATGGGTAAAAAAAATTCAAAGTGCTGGATATCAACTTTTAATGATAACTCCCCTTAAAAAGAGGTACTAAAATCCAGTTACTGATGGCGGGCAATTGTAGACAAACGGGTAGTATTTGGAAACCTCTTGTCACTGTTGGAAAAGAAAGATACATAACAATAACTATAGCTTTTACTAATATGCTTTTTGTCAATGCATATTATAGACTTCGCGTATGTTTTGCTTATTTCATCTCATAGGGGTTTTCATCCCTTGTTGAGCCTTTTTAATTTCATTTCACATGGGTTCTCTTATTGAGAATTGAGATTCCCTTTTTATTAAACTCAAACTTTATGGCTGTGTGCATCCTAGATGTATAAGGTCAAGATGTAATTATCTTTCTTATCTAAAACGATATTTCTAGCTTACATGGAAGATGCAGATGCCAAAGAACTCGACCCGCTTGCCATGGGGGGGATGCTCCTTGAAGGGCCCCTCCATGTACCCCCAGTGTCGGAACTTGAAGACGATCCGTGGTGGACCACTGTAGACGTCGAGCACCTCGATGGCAAAGCCACGCGGGAACGCCGTCAAGAACGTGGCCATGCCGGACTCCAGCGTCTCATTGTCCGGGTCATAGATGCGGTGCTCCGGCGGCAGTTTCGTCTGCAGGAACGCGTTGTAGCCGCCGATAGCCATCACCTCCTTCCGGCTCAGAAATCTCATCCCTATAGCCATGCCAATGGTTTTATTTAACTATTACTACCTCTGTTTTTTAATATATATATATATATATAACATCGTTAACTTTTTATCAACGTTTGACCATTTGTCTTATTCAATTTTTTTTACAAATATAAAAATATTTAAATCATGCTTAAAGATAAATCAAATCACAGTAAAACAGATAATAAATGCATGTTTTTTAATAAGATAAATGGTCAAACATATCTCAAAAAGTCAACGGCTTTCTATATTAAAATACAGAGCGAAGGCCGAAATATTCTATTTCATTATCTAAAAAAAATATTAAAATACGAAGACACGCGCACACATGCAGAACGGAGGGAGTAGCTCTCACCGTTGGTGCTCGCGCAGAATTTCTGCGAGTGGACGCTCTTCTGGTCCTCGGGTCGCACCTTGTGGATGAGCTCCATCTCCCAGGTCTTCAGCAACCTCTGGACCTTCTCCTCCAGAGACCCCTCTGGCCATTCCTAATTAGTGACAAGTGCACAACAATGCTTTGAACTTAATCACAATACCTGATTCGATCTCTGCGGCGTTTAGTTATGAATTCTGACGAGTAGTGTTCGTCGTGAAATTAATTACCTTGGTTCTCTCTTCCTCGAAGAGCTTGTTGACGACGTCGTAGTTTGGAGGGGATCCAAGCCTCCACACGGTGTCCTTCTCTCCCTCGCCGTACATGAACGACCGGTACTTGTCCCTGCCTCCTGAAGCTTCACCAGCAGCCGCCATGGCCGACAGTTAATTTGCGAGGTGAGCTGCTTGTAGTTTTGCGAGATGATGGGAGTCTCAGCTGATGAACAGCTAGCTCTCCTTAGATATAGGAGAGGCAGTCATCAGATGGAATAAACAAATTGTTGCTTGGTCCCTTCTTCCTAGTTTGTGTTCGAGCAGTTGGCGCGTGATTTAGGAACGTGCGCTTTTGGGTGCAAGACCTTTCGGCTGTCGATGAAAAACTCTAACTTTTTTTCCACTATCTTAATAACATTCGGATGACCTCCTTCCGTCATCTCGGCAAAAAACAAACAAACTGTAAACACTGCAAGCGTCACTACGTTGGACCAAAGAAAATAAAGTAATCCCTTTTCAAAGCAACAAAGGGGAAGAAGAAATCGATCCCAACCAGAACCTAATACTAGTCCAGTGAGATGCCAGAGCTAGTCCTCCACTAGTTCTTGTGACCTTTCTCAACCTAATCCTATCCTGGTCCAGTGAGATGCCAGAGCTAGTCCTCCACTAGCGCCGTGTTTAGTTCCAAAATTATTCTTCGAACTTCCAACTTTTCTATCACATCAAAATTTTTCTACATACATAAACTTCGAACTTTTCCGTTCATCGTCCCAATTTCAACCAAACTTCCAATTTTGGTTTGAACTAAACACAGCCTACTTCTTGTTACCTTTCTCCCGTGTTGTTTTCTTTCTCGGAAATTTCACGATGCATATATGTGCTTGGCCGGCAGCTGGTGCAGTCGCCACTGCCTCACCGGACGAAACATCTCTCTCGATCGATTGACAAAAACACAGTAAAATGCGCATAAATTTTTCATGAATATGATATCGAGTGACGGCTGCTGGCCTGCAGCTGCATGAACAAAGAACAATCAAGTATCCCCGTCGTTTTCAATGGTAGTTGCTGTAGAATGAACTCATGTGCAGTAACCTCAGAAAACACTTTGTACTCCGTATCAATTATAGATTTACAGACAAACCGAGCACAACTTCTGGCATCCCGGTATCACAAATTTACAGTGAGAAGGTACCAGTTCTTGCCCAATCTGGAGCTGACCAAACTGACACATGACGATAAGAATAATATGTTAACAAAACTGCATCCTAAAAACGAGCAAGTGTATGAGAAGTTTTGTGCTCCAATATACAGGGTTACTTGCCCGGTAGTTCCACTATAATTGGTGATCATAACTCAAACTGTAAGTGGATTCAATCACCCAAATTAGAAAAAAAAATCATCTGATCTGATTATGAATCTGAAATAGAATGTCAACATATAAATCACAAAAGGAGAGCATCTAAAAAGATAAAAAAATAGCAAGCATAAAATGAAATCATAACTCGAATAAAGTCAGGAAATTTAGGTTATGCCAGAAATAGTAAAAATACATCACATAAGTTACATCCATCCAGAATACATGAGGAATCTCCCTTTTGTGACAGATAATTGATGTATCTTACTATCTTCGCTTCTTCAAAAACAAAACCATGTCAAATGTTATTAGTCCTATAAAATTTTGGTACACACACAACAAATTGGGGAAACGCAGTTGGCTTCTAGCTAGTGAGATACAGATCACAAGTACCTTCATTTACTGCAATCTACACACAGTAAAATTTTCAAGGGATAGATACACATCCTGCTTGTTACCTGCGCCTTAGATCTCTCTGCAAAAAAAAATGATGGGAATTTAGGAATGTTTATTGATAATATCACCGCAGAAATGAATAACATGTTATTAGAAGCTTGATTTCAAGAAACAAATGAGAAGCATCTTTTTTGTGATTGAATTCTATGTAGTAGAAAGTTATTATGCACCGTTGGTACGAAACTATTTGCATATATCATCTTAGAGCGAATTTTGATTGAAAAAACAACTCTTTCTAGGAAACGAGAACAAATCATATGTGGAAAAAATGAAGGCTTACTCTTGGACCACGGTCTGTAACTGGTGTTGGTCTGCTACCTGTGTTATCTGCCTGCTGAATCATCTGTGGGCTATCATGCTTATAGAATGCTTGTAAAGTTCTCACCATGAAAGGACGCACGATATTCACTTCCATTGCAGAGAGATTTTTTAGCTGTATAAATGCAAATATATATATATATATGTGCATGAGGTAAGCAGGGAAAAAAGATCATAATGGGTCATAATTTAAGAAGTCTGATGGTAAATATTGAGTAAGAATATGGAAGCATACACAGTTTACATTTTACAATCACAATCGTGTGACATCACAAATAGACGAGTTTTATGTTTAATTTGTTAGTGATGCTTATGAGAAAGGTTAAGTTTTATAGTTTACATACACTACAAAAAAAATTGATTAAAAAAATAAATGCTACAAACAGTAGATAGAAGAAAGGTATAACACATGGAATAGCTTCAACACAATCTGAGCAGCCAGGACAAGCGGCAGATAAAGTAGCTATAGTGTGGAGAGAATATACCTTTACAGCATGAGTACGGCCAGATATTGTCTCCAGACCAGTCTCAACCTTATGGAATCTGACATCTCGGATGTCCTCAATCAAAGATCTTACCTACATGCAGCTAGAAGTAAGCAAAATTTTGTTTCCAAATAATATCAGAGCCAATTAGTCAGTGGAAATTTCTTCCGAAGGTTTCTGTAACTCACCAGGTATGCATCTGAGATGTCATCACGAGCACTTGACACATATATATAGAGAGAGAGAAATAAGTTTTGCAGATTCTTATTATAGAATTACTACAAGAGTTTCTATGAAATATGAATACTTACTGATCAAAGAGAAGCTTAGATATTTCAATATAGTGGAACGGCAATGGCTGAAATTCTTTGGGTGACTCTCTTTCTGCATCTAATACCTGCGTCAAGCGGTCTAGCAATAAATAGTTAAAGAGTGAACAGACCGCGTACCATGAAAATGTAAAGAAGTAGCACAGACAAATATGCAATCAGGCAGTCAGAATCTAAGACACATGTAAGCATGTCAAATATAAACAGTATTATTCTATTAGATTGTGACATTAAATGCTATAAGAGTGCACAGACAAGAAATTTCAGGGAGAAAAATATACTCCTTCTGTCCCATAATATAAGGGATTTTGGAAGGATGTGATGCATCCTAAGACTATCCTAGGATGTGTCACATCCCACCAAAATCCCTTATATTATGGGACGGAGGGAGTAATAGTTACGCAATCTGTCATGTAGGTTGAATGCATTACTACTTAGTAACTGGTAATAAGATTAGGCACAGAACCTCCTTTCTTTATGATTTATTAATTTATTATACCAGCAAATACTATAAACATGTTGGCTATGATAAAACATGAGATTAAGCAGCTCAGATAAGCAAGCAGGAACTTACCAACAGTCATCCAGTCAGGTGTGCGTATGGTACATTTGCCACGCTTCTTGAGTGCAACCGCGAGCCAAAGAGGCACTTTGCTTGCAATTTGCGGGAAGAAGGGCCCAAAATCCCCCTATATGATGAATTGGTGAGTATGAGTGTTGCGTTGACCAAATTTGACGTATTGAGACTTCAAACAGCAGAAAACCTCATGTGGGACAGAAAACAGAAAACCTCATCTGGAAAATGAGCTGAGCAAAAGCAACCAATAGTCAATGAAACAGCAAAAGGAATTTATAACTGGCCAGTGAAACGAGGATCAATCACAGCAAAACATGTGAATTTTGAGTATAATGTAATTAATCATTCATAAAGTACATAGGAAAGATAAGCGCAGCAACCCAAAAATAAATGTGAGGTAAAACGAGTGGACAGTGAGAGTATTCAAAAATAGAAATGAATGAAAATAGATGCCAGTGAAGGGACTGGCAACTCACGCATATCATGTTGAGGGCCTCCATGCGAATGTTAGGGACGATCTCGACAATCTCATCCTCCGCCACGAACTCCACCTGCAATAGCACATAGGCCAACAAAATGAACTTGGAACCCATGAATCCAGACCCTGCTCTTGAAATGATTCAATGAGGAAAGGATTGATTTAGGCTTGATTACCTCTGAGGGTGAGAAGATAGAAAGATGAGGGTCAGACTGCCCAGCCATCTTGACCACCGTGGCACTAAATTGCTTCCTCTATTTGATGATTTAGTGTCTGTAAACTTTAAGAAAAAGAAAGTGAATCAGTGTTTGTTCAATTCCTATTGGCGTCTGTGATGTCAAACTTTTATAGCATACATTCTTCAAAGAGTGATGCAAATGCTACCCTGTCAAACTTGTCAAGATAATTCCTAAACGTAGAAATATCTGAAGTTATGAACTGAACAACTGATATGGATTCAAAAGTGTTCTTTCCACATGTTTTGTCAGCATAAGGTGTTCTTACCTGATCTACTACACTATTATAACAGGAGATCTAATTGAGAAACTCAGAAGATCAGTACACATTTCGTGTGGAGAAATCGGACAAATTTTGAGAATGTCTTGCCCCTGGGCTAGGGTATAATTCTTAACTTGCATTATCTCCATGACAGCCATCACCAGTCCAATTAATAGAACTTTGGGCGCCATAATAAGGATACAAGTAGATGGGAAAGACATGGGATTAGTATGTTCCTTAGGTCTGGCTTCAGATGGTGACACCAGGAGGAACCAAGGAGCCAATCCTGCCGCCGCCACTGAGGGTGGCTGTACCCCTGATGGGGCCGGAGCAGTGCACGGTCCTGTCGTCATCCGTGATGGGGGACGATGGTGTACGACCATCCTGTCATTGTCGACGGCGTCAGGCAGCAGGGGCAGTGGCGTAGCCATGAATTTTACGTTGGTAGTCCTCGGTTGCGTAGCCAAGAAATTTTCGTTGGTTAGTCCTACTTCACAAGTTCAATCACATACCAAAATTTTTCGAATACAGCAAATCTCATATACAGGTACAAATTTAGTTAAATAACAATAATATCTCATAACATCAATGATCGACTAATTTATAACAAGCAAGTTCAAAATGTGCAAATATTACAATATTATATAGATATAGTTCAAATACAAAATCCTACAAAGCGATGTAATACCCCCATTCATCTTCGTGTTTTACAAATCCTACAAACAGCGACTCCGCAGCGCATTCACTGATTCATAAATCAGAAATCACAAATTGGCAATGGAAAATACTTCAAAGAAACATAGACTCATTTCACCATCATAGTTCTAGTTCACCATTTCATCTCACCTGAGCAAATGGGAAAGGGAAACCCACAAATCGTCAAGCAGCCCGGCCGCTAGCAGCCAGAAGGGGCAGGCAATAAACCGGGGCCAGCCGGCTAGGGTTCCCGAGGTCCCGGTGCCCGAGTGCGGCTGCCTCACGGTGGCAGTGGCCCGCGCGCGCCTCCACCCTCTCCGCAGATTGAGCCGGAAAGACGAGGAGAGGCGGAGGCTGCGAGGCGAGGGGAGGAACAGCGGCGACTCCAACCCTAGCTGCCGCCTGCTTCCGATTTCTGACTTCTTGCTTGCTTAATGGGCTTGCTTCTTGGGTCTCATTGAGGATTGGGCTGAAGTTTATCTGGGCCAAAATTAGTCCTCGGGCCACTGATGACCCCTAATAGAAAGCGGTGTTGGGCTCCATGTAATTTACTAGTAGTAATTTGGTCATAATAAAGCTCAACTATGGGTTCAGAAACATGTCACTCAACCACAAAAATTGGCAAGAAGCGTTGCCTAACTTTTAAATTAAGAGATGTAAAGTGAACTTTTTCATAATTTCGTAGGCTGCGGTTTGACAGAGGCATAGCTGCGTCCGCTGAACAAATCTCTCGAGTATCTAAAATAGGGATTCATTAGCTTATAATTAATTAAGTATTATTTTTTTAAAAGTATTAATATGAATTTTGAAAGCAATTTTCGTATAGAATTTTTTTGGGACAATTTCGTTCCTACTCCTACTCCTACTTCCATGTCCAATATTGATTTAGGGTTTTCGTTTTAATTTTACCCCCACTTTTTTCAATTGAGTGAGGCGTTCACCCTGTTTTTGATAGAAGGGACTGGAGCTAGAGTTATTGAGGTAAAATAATAGGGAAAATAATTTTTCAAAATATTGATTTACCTTTTTGCCCTTAGAGAATTTGGTACTACTGTGATTATCTCCCTCCACTCCACGAACTCCGACTCGAATAATATTCCCTAACCTAGCGGTGGCGCGGCGACCCGTGCTTGCGGTGGTGGCGACAGGCGGCATCAGTGGGCTGCCCAGGTGGCGGAGAGCAGCAGCCGTCGGCGGCACCCTGACCCGAGGCAGGCTGGAGGTTGGCGACAGGAAACAGCGGGGGAGCAAGCTACATGGCAGGGAGCAGCGGGCAAGGCGGCGGCCCGACCTAGCCGCGCCGAGGAGGAGACCAGGTAGCAGAGAGGAGCTGAGGAGGCCGTGCGACTCGGTTCAGCTCCAAGCAGGCGGCTGGGGAGGAGGTGTGGGGAGGCGGCAGCAGCCCAGCAAGACGATGCGGCGGCGGCGGCGTTGCGACGCATCGAGGCAGGCGCGAGGCTGCGGCGGGTCTCCGTCCAACCATCGTGGCGTGCACGGCTTCGGCGTGGCCTTCCCTGCTAGGCAGCGCGATGTTGACGAGGCGTCATGCTCAGGGGCGGATCCAGGAATGAAAAATTGGGAAGGCTCAACATACTGGGAACCAGGGTGTGAAAAACCGGCGGTAACCGCGCGGTTACCGCGGTTACCGCCCGTACCGCGGGGGTACGGTTACCCGTACCGCGCGGTACGGTTTAATAAAATTCGTCCAAATTCAAAATTTTTTTTAAAAAAAGAAAAAAATCAAAAAAAATAGTGAAGGTAGTGCTTGATTTATAGTGTTTTATGGTGAAGAAATTTCTCAAAAAAGAGTAATATTTATTCAAATTTGAGAGCAAAACGGAGAATAAATTTGAAAATTGGAAAAAGAAAAAAAAATGGGCCGGCCCGTTACTGTGCAACCCATTACACATCGCGCGGTAACCGCGCCAAACCGCGTGGTTACCGCGTCAAACCGCGCGGTAACCGCGCCAAACCGCGCGGTTTGCCCGAATTTTTGAATTCAAATTTCGATTTGTAAATTTGTCGCGGTTTTGCGCGGTTACCGCGGTTACCGCCGGTAACCGCCGTACCGCCGGGTGGCGGTAACCGGGCCCCCGGCGGTTTTTGAAACCCTGCTGGGAACACCTGCATAAGCACATAACGTCTCATACAATACTCCCTCCGTTTCTAAATATTTGACACCGTTGACTTTTTAGCACATGTTTGACAGTTCATCTTATTCAAAAACTTTTGTGAAATATGTAAAACTATATGTATACATATAAGTATATTTAACAATGAATCAAATGATAGGAAAAGAATTAATAATTACTTAGATTTTTTAAATAAGACGAAGGGTCAAACATATTTTAAAAAGTTAACGCCGTCAAATATTTAGAAACGGAGGGAGTATTACAATAGCGTAATATTACTCTAAAGAAGTTTCATATGGAAACAGATAGATAATAATGAGAAATACATCACAACTTCACAAGACAATTGGTTATTTCTCAGGCGTGACGCAAATTATCCTTCATGAGGCAAAATCTTTACATGAGAGTATGAGACAAAACATTGCATACCTTGTATTTTGCAGCCGTCGGCCAGCTGCTCGCCTGCGGCCTGCCTCTTGCTCGCGTGCTGCCGTGGCGTCGCCGGCGCCGGCCTGCAGCCTCCGCCGCCGCTGGCCTGCTGCTGCTCCTGCTCGGCTGCTCGCGCTCGCGGCGCCGCGCGCTTCCGCCTGCTGCCCTGCCGGCGCGCGTTCCGCTGCGCCGCTCGTCGTTACCTCGCCGCCGCGCCGCTCACCTCTTGCGCCGCCGCACGGGGAGCTCACTGCCTTGGCTGCTAGGGCTTTGGGGCTGGGGATTGGGGAATTAGGTATTTGGGCACTTGGGCTGGACTGTTGGGGGCTAGATGTGGCCTGTGGGCCTGCAACCTATTCTCTAGGGGTAAGTCCACTTTGGCTCCCTAACTAGTAGCCGAATCTAATTCATACTCTCTCAACCACAATACCGGATATCACGACCCTCCAACTATTAAAACCGGTCTAATTTGGCATCCTTAGCGATTTTGGAAGGCGGTTTCGCTGATGTGGCGCCTACGTGGCGGTGTGGCATTAGAGTTAAAATATACATATTGTGGGACCCACCGCCATGTGGGCCCACCTGACATGTGCCGGTCACCGCACGGGCCATGGCCATGCCAACGACACTGCGGCTACTCCTCTCGCCATGTCAACAACAGCTGAGGGAGTCAAACTGTACCGGTTTTAATAGTTGGGGGTTGAGATATCTAATATTGTGGTTTAGGGATACGGATCAGATTCGGCAACTAGTTAAGGGAGTCAAAGTGAACTTATTCCTATTTTCTAAGGCAATTCCTTTTCTAAGTGAGCCTGGCCCAACTACGTTCGCCAGCCCAATTTCACACTTTCTTCAACCTCTAGCCATACAGAGACTTTGATCACCTCATACTCTATCATCCATGCCGAAATTTTTGAAGGGAGGCTCTATAGGTCCGGAGAGGGTAGGAGGACTCAAGGCCACCCTGCCCCTACGTTGGATCTACCCCTGGTCGTGCTGTTGTCTCTCACAGCCTCACGGCATCGCCGCCAACACCCAACTGTCTTGCTGAAGAGGTGAGGAGTTGCTGCTTGCTTGCTAGCTCAAGAAAAGAAGATGTAGAGCTGGTGCTTGCTTTATTGCTTATGCCACTTATTGCTGCGTTACAGTCAATCAAATTTTCGTTGATTGATTTGAATATGCCAAAGTTTGGAACATACAATAGCAAGTAAGGGTACGGATGTCCTTTTACTAAAAATTTAATACCATTAGTTAACATCTCCATCTAAAATAGGGGTAGGGTAATACTTGGCTTCGCTTAAAAAATCAGGGGCATAAAAAAAACCCTAAAAAAAGCAAGGACAAACTCAATATTGAACATTAAAACAGGGATAAGAACAAAATTGTCCTGATTTTTTTTTAAAACCACAACATTCGGTAGTTTGAGAAACGCACATAAAAAAACAAGATAAGTTGGGAAGTTCGAACAAAATAACACAGCTATAGTGATGGTGTCTACACCTTTTTCTTTTTTCTCTTTTAAGGGCCCCTTTGAATTGGAGGAAAAACGTAGGAATTTTTGAGGATTTTAATCCTATAGGGAAATTTCCTATGAAGCCCTTTGAAACAAAGTATTGAATTCTATCTAATCCTTTAAAATTCCTATGGAATGGACAATCCTATAGAGATTTTGGAGGAAATTTAGCAAGAGCTTCAACCTCTTGCTAACTTTCCTTTGAGTCTATCTCTCTCATCTAATTCCTACGTTTTTCCTACGGTTCAATCAAATGGTCATTCCTGTGTTTTTTCTGCATTTTGTAATCATATATTTTATACTTACATTCCTATCAAAATCTTATGTTTTTTCTATTCATATGTTTTTTCAATCCTACGATTCAAAGTGCCCTAATTCTGTCCTGCCCGTGCTGCTCGGTACAGGCTGCTATCTAGCCTACAGTGACCCTCGTTGGCTCGTTGAAGAGTAGTATAATTGTACGTGCACAGTGACCTTTTGGTGGTGGAGCACCGGACGTACAGCGACGTACGACCCAGACCTTGTCGCATGCATCGGCGGTCGACAATATTCTATGCCTGCACGCGCACGACAATAATCGATCGATCGACCGCGTGTTCCGCGTGATCCACGCAACAACATAAAAAAAACGGAGAGAGATATCCATCCATCTGCAGCTAGCGACGTCCTACGTAGTACTACTCGATTGTCACGACTCAGGACACTTGACTTGTACCTCGATTCGAAACCCAGCGCTAATTAAATACTTCCTCCATCCAAAAATCAGACTTACGGAGTATTTGTTTCTGTCAATGGTATCGATTGTGTTAAATTAATATACTTCCAGAATCACCAGACCTTAGATCCGTCATTGCATCATGTAAGACAAAACCAAATAAATTATACACATGCATGCAACAAATCCTCTCTTATTATAATAAAGTTATAACCCACTAACTTCTAAAAATTAACATGCAAAGATACCACATCATTATCCACTAACAAGATGCCACATCATAATCCACTAACAATCATTAAATAATTTAAACACCATACAAACATGCTATATTATCTATAAATTTATAATTTATTAAATTTTAGAGGTTTTAAAATGCACGCATGTTAAATCATCATCGCACATAATTCACGTATTATTTCAATTTATATCTTCATTATTTTTTCTAATATGCTATGTAGCTATATAGTTCATCATCACTAACTACTTAGTTAATGTTGTTTCTTTCTTCTTTTATTAAGCCATATCACACCAATTTTTTAGTGCTTAAATGATCAATCTATGTTTCAATTTATCTCTCTCATTTTCTTCTCTCATTAATTCATATCATCTCAATTATTTTTATCCTTTAGATAATTAATCTACGGTCCAAACTATACGAGTACTTTTCTTCTTTTATAAAGTCATATCACCTTACTTTTATATTTGAATCATCATTCTATATATTATTCAAATTTAAATTATCATAAACCACATTAATTTATATAATCTTATGTTGTTTAGCTATTTTACATATTATTTTTACTTATTATCGTACTCAACTCCCGCAGTAACGCGTGGGGTTTCACCTAGTTAATTTAGTACATAAAGATTGCAAATATACTAGATGGGTACCCCGCGTGTTGCTACGGGAGCATTGTGTAATAATATAATAGATATGGGTTCTAAAATTTTTTTTCTTATCTACTTTACGATTTTTTTCATGTGATTATATATATCTTTTACCTTTATTAATTATTTAAATGTTATAAATGATTGGGTTATATGGTGTGCTTTTAGGGAAAAGAGATGCAATTTACATCCTTGATGAATCATTCAAAGGCTAAAAACAATTAAAGTGATGTGGCTTCATCAGATAAGAGAGAATTAGCATTAACTACACTTAGTGTGGATAAACTTTACAGATATATGAGATATGTTTTAGACCTTTAGAAAAACAAAAAAGCGAAATACACCTAATAGACCTTTTGAAAGGGAGGAAGTACAAACCGCAGCACATGCTCAACTGATGTCAGCCGAGAGCCACAAGCTACTAGAGGTCAGTAGCATGCATTGCACGTTTGCAACCTCGCCGGTTTAAAATTCGCACTGCACCGTGGGACCGTGGGTCGTCGTCCGACTTAGGCCTTGGCCAGAGAGGACCCACCGGACGAGCGCGACGCGTGTGCGTATGGGTGGTCGGTCAATCGATGGAGAGGCGAAACATAATAGTAGCTCACCTCGGTTCAGGACGGAACCCTGAGAGACCGACCGAGTGCGAACGCAACGTAAGGTGATCGGCCTTCGATCGCCCGACACGAACCATCCATTTATGGCCCCTTGTGTTTAGGTTTATAAGCTAACTTATAAGTCAAAAAGTCTAAGCCAAAATGAACAAGCAGCTTTTTTATTTGTCTTTTTTAAAGCCATAAGTCACTCTAACACTATTAAGCCAAAAGCTAGATTGGAGAAGCTTTTTTTTTACTTATATGAGGTAGACGTATGACTTCATCACTAAACTTAGAACATTAAAACCACCGGCTTATAAATCATATAAGCCAATAAACTGACTTAAAAATCTAGACCAATAAGCCTAAGCCTAAACAAAGAGGGCCTATGTGTGTGGCGCGAGCGACGACTTATTAATTTATCATTTCTGATATTTATCATGAATACAATTCATTATATTTTTTTTGAGGGAACAATACAATTCATTATATCAGATGCTCATACATTCATTTTCTTTTAAACTAAGCACTTTATGAGAGTTATTGATAGCTAGAATTTCAAAATTTTAACCGAATTTTTCATAATCGGAAGGATTACTAGGTCATTTCCATTTATTCATACCGTGAAGATACTACACTTAGACCCTCTTCTAACCTCAAACTCCAAATTACAACTTACTCAATTTTTTTAACATGTTTTCCTCTTCTTTTTTTTAGGTGTTAACATGTTTTCTAAACTGCTGGTTTTTACAAAAATTCTATATCAAAGTTCATTTAAAAAATCAACCAAAATCCCTTTTCAATTTTATAATAATTAATACTCGATTAATAATGTGCTAATAGGATGTCTTGTTATGCGACATGCCGCAAAACCTAACCTCTAACTAATACAGCCTTAGCTCATAGTACGACACAGTAGATTATTTAGTACAAGCTTAGCTTGTCTCTCTTTCTTTCTTACTTTTTCGTTGCATGTCCTTTTTAGCAAGTACTAAGCTGACGTTTTGAAGAACCAATGATCAATCCTCTTCTTCGGTCCTCCGTCTCTTGAGTAATGTAACTAATTAGCTCTTATTGTCTCCTTGTTGATATATTAGTTATATCTAAAATTTAGATTTTGAAATAAAGTTAATTAGAATTGTTTTTTTAACATGCAGTCTATTTTTCATGTCGCTTTTCCACTAATAATACATATATAAAAAATGACTCTTACTACGGTGCTCTCTACTGATAGTAGAAACAAATCTAAACAATTTATCTGTTTTTATCTAATGGTTCAGATTTAATTATACTACCACATAGAAACGTAGAAGGGTATAATCATCCATAGAAATAGTGATGTGGAAGGGGTAGAGTTGTAATTTTGCATATGTAACAAACCCTTCGATTTTTTGCCCGTGCTGGCCGAGCTTTTTGGGCGATTATTCCTGATGTTGCAATTGCCATCCTCCGTCACCCATTCACATCTGATCACAGCTGCAGCCTCCCCATTTGCCCGAACACACACCGCTACGACATCGCCCTTCCTTCCTCTAGATATGGCATTGGATGTTACCTCCACTCCCAATCCATCCTCCTCGACAATATCCAATGACATATCTAGAGGAAGGAAGAGTGACGCTGCAGCGGTGTGCCTTACATTTCTTGCTATCATTTTTTCGGGAGGCTTGTATGCCATCACGTTAGTCACTGAAACGGCGGATCGATGCTACGCTAGAGCCTAGAGATCGAGTATATTAGCGATTAAAACAACAACAAAATATTATGAACACCAAAATTACCCCAATCCATTTACTTAGGGAAGCACTAATATATTCTCATAAATCGACGAGTCAGATCATTTATACTGATAGTATAATATTATCAGTAAAGAGCACCACAATATTTTGACTGTTTCGTTAATTTTTATGCCGTTTAGCTAACATTCAATCGATCACAAGGTCATGTACTGACAGTACTTGCTCAATCCTACGCCACCGGGCGGCGGCTGCGCGAAATTAAACCTCGAAATTGACTTTCAAATTTAAAATCCGTACTGACTCATCTACTCCCCTTATGACTTTTCTCTATTTAAACACCATCCCCGACTCAGTGATACCCGCCAAGCTCACCCCAAACTCTGAGCTTTCTTCCTTCTCGTGTCGTCTCGTCCCCTTCCCGCGCGCAGCAATCGACATGCACGTCCTCGCTCAATCCACGGCCGTGGCCAAGGTCGCCGCCTCCGGCTGCCTCCGACGAAGCCCGAACCCCTCCGTGACGTTCCAGAGATCCCCTTCCCTTCTTCTCTCGCCGGCCGCGTGCCGCCGCCGCTGCCGCCGCGGGTGCTCCGTCTCCGTCGACGTGAGGTGCTCCCTGGGCGCCATGGTCACGCCGGAGCTGAACGGCGGCGACGTCGGCGTCGGCGTCGGCGGTGGTAGCTTCGACTTTCAGCGGTATCTGTCTGCCAGGGCCGACGCCGTGCACGACGCGCTGGACCGGGCCATGCCGCGCGGCTTCCCGGAGCGGCTCTGCGAGTCCATGCGCTACTCCGTCCTCGCCGGCGGCAAGCGGGTGCGCCCCGTGCTCGCGCTGGCCGCGTGCGAGCTCGTCGGCGGGGACGCCGCGGCGGCCACGCCCGTCGCCTGCGCGGTCGAGATGATCCACACCATGTCGCTCATCCACGACGACATGCCGTGCATGGACGACGACGCCCTCCGCCGGGGCCGCCCCTCCAACCACGTCGCCTTCGGCGAGTTCACCGCCCTCCTCGCCGGCGACGCGCTCCACGCCCTCGCGTTCGAGCACGTGGCGCGCGGCTGCGGCGACCACGGCGTCCCCGCGGACCGCACGCTCCGGGCGGTCGCCGAGCTCGGGAGCGCCTCGGGCACCGGCGGGGTCGCCGCCGGGCAGGTCGCCGACAAGGAGAGCGAGGGCCTCCCCGTCAGCCTCGCCATGCTGGAGTACATCCACGTGCACAAGACGGCGAGGCTCCTCGAGGCCGCCGCCGTGTCCGGCGCCATCGTCGGCGGGGGCGCGGACGCCGAGGTGGAGAGGGTCCGGCGGTACGCGCGCTGCGTCGGGCTCCTCTTCCAGGTGGTCGACGACGTGCTCGACATGACGAGCACATCGGAGCAGCTCGGGAAGACGGCCGGGAAGGACGTCGAGGCCGACAAGGCCACTTACCCGAAGCTGCTCGGCGTCGACAAGGCCCGCGAGTACGCCGCCGACCTCCTCGCCATGGCCGAGGCGGAGCTCGACGGGTTCGACGCCGAGCGCGCCGCGCCGCTGCGACACCTCGCGCGGTTCATCGCCTACAGGCAGCATTAATTGATGGCTCGATGCGGCTAACAGTGCAACGAAAATTCAGCGCTTTCAATGATTTGAGCGACTCAAATCGAGACATATTTGTCAATTTCTGTACGTATATGATGGTAGCTTGGAGTACGGTGTATTTGTATACCGTTTGGTTGCTCAAGGAAATAAGTTCACTTTAGGTCCCTCAATTTATCACCGAGTCTCAAATACGTCCCTAAATCGCAATTTCAGATACTTCCTCCATCCCAAAATATAGCTATTTAGTATGGGATGTGACATCACCTAGTACTACTGTCCAGATTCGTAGTACTAGGTGATGTTACATCACGTACTAGGTAGCTACATTTTGGGACGGAGGTAGTATGATGCATCCCTCAACTTTCAAAACCATTGCAAATAACGTCCCAAAACGGTTTGGACTGTAGTTTTGGCTACATGGCTTCTACATGACATTGACAAAGACAGAAAAAAAACCATAGGACTGATATGTCAGTTAGTGTTCGGTTAAAACAAGTTTTACAATGGGATTCTCTTATCTCCCTCTTCTAGTTGGATCCCCTCTCTTTCCCCTTTTCTCTCCCTTCCTCCTCTCTCTCTCCCTCTTCTAGTCAGAGGAGAGCGAGGCACGTCCACATCGCTACGGCCTACGGGAGACTGGGAGAGGACAACGTCTACTCGCTTGTGTCTGCCTCTCGGCAATGTATGATTTGATCGTCGGGGGACGGCAATCCTGTAACCATGTTTTGCTGAGTGCGAGCGGTTCAGGGACCACCGTCCAAACCGCGGTCCATCGTCTCGGCAACAAATTGAGAGATCAAAAGTGAACTTACCCCGTTGCTTAGAGACGGAGATTTTCGTGTAGTTTTAAGCCCAAATGGTCAAAATGGACTGTTCCAACCAGCCCATTTTCTGCATTGTCTAGCAAGTGTCCCCAAGAGGTCCATATCATTAGCTTCTCACTGGCCCAGCACAAGTGGGTTTAATTTGTTGTCCCTGATCAAATCAAAGCTGCCTTAGCTTTTCTTCCGTTTAAACACAACAGTGTGTTATATTGCACTAGGCTGAGTACAAGATTCTTCTATCCTCAATTTGCAAAAAGCAAATGATGCAATGCCCCGACACATTGTGCTCAGCGAATATGATTCTCCTCCATAAACCAACCATTACGCATTGCATGCACGGCCAATTTCGCGAAGCTTAACACAATTAATTTCCTCGCAAAACATCTCACGCAGCAGCAGCTAGCAAGCTAGCTTGCCAAGCCACAGCCATGGCGGCTTTGCTCGGAGCTCTCCGCGGCAAGCTGCACGGCTGCGCGCTGCGCCTGCGCGGCGATTCGCTGCCCGTCGTCGTCTCCGTCCTCGCCGTGGCTGCTCTGTGCGCCACCGCTCTCTCGAGGGTCGTCGTGTTCTTCCTGCCGCTCGTGGCGTCCACCTCGCTCTGCTGCGCGGCGGCGTACCTGCTCGTCGCCGCCTCGGAGCCGGACCAGGAGGGCGCCGCCGGCGCAGCGGCGGCGAAGGAGGTGGTGCTCGTCCGCGGCGACAGGGCGGAGGTCGGGGTGCTGCAGGTGTTCGACGGCGCGAACGCCACCGTGTACGCCGCCGCCGCCGACGCCGACGCCATGCGTGTGGGCTGCTTCCTGCACTACAGGCCCCGCGGCGCGGGCGGCGGCGGCGGGTGGACGAAGCGCGGGGTCGACGAGGACGGCGAGGAGGTGGTGTTCGCCGGCAGGCTGGCCGCCGTCTGCGGCGGCGACGGCGACGATGTCGAGGAGGAGCTCGCGGCGCTGCGGGTGGACCGGCTGGCGGAGGGCGTGTGGGACAGCTACTTCGGCGGGTGGTCGAGGTGGAACTACGTGACGGATGGGCACTACTACGACGAAGACGCCACCATTTTTCTGGACTCTTAAGCACCCCTGAGCTGATGTAAGTAGTGGCTGGCCATTTCGGACTAATTAAATTTTGGAGCTAATCTGAATTTTGAAGCACCATATGCCTAATACTTTGGTGGCGTTTGTTTCTACTGATGATGAAAATAAAGTTAGGGCACGAAAAAAATCATTAGCGTGTCACAAACTTGAAAAATAGATTTATCTGGTATTTTAAAGCAACCCTATATATAAATTGTTTTCATCAGTATGTTTATTTTTAACAAATGCTTGGGTGATATTTTTACAGATCCAAAGCTTTGGCTCCATCGTTAACAACAGAATTTATACATGAATGATGTAGGTGCATTATTATACAGAGATGTTTAGATTGGTACAACATATATCCGGTCAAATTTGGCTGTGTAAATTTGATTGGACGTAGAGATCGTGTTTATCCCATTTTCTAAAAACTATCCGGTCAAAACTCAAAATAACAACCAGTGCACGTGGAGAACGCAAGTACGGAGACCTTTGGGCATGATCGAACTACGATGGCAATGGTCGTGCGTACGCATCTGCAGGAATCGGATTCTTTTAAGCGCCTTTCTCTGCAGAAAAAGAGAGCAGTGTCTTCACAGCTTCAGCACCCCCACAAATCACATCTATCAGCTGAACGTAAAACCTGAAGCCTCTCTGCCTTTATTCTTCCACAAACTGCACTCTTCGCACAAATGTGTGCCATGAAAAGCTATATGAATCCAAATATTATCCAAGTAAAAAAAAAACGGTGAAAGGAAAACAAAATTCTACTGCAACCTTTTGCCCCCTTTTCGCTTGCCGCGGGAGGCCGAGGCGTACTGCTTGGGCCGGGCTGGTTAGATCTGACAAAATTGGCCTGTTTCCTATGCTTTTCTTTTCCCCTTTTTTCAGGTGGAGTGGGTCGGAGTTTTATACGTACTTCTCGAAATAAACCAACTTCTCACGTCTAAAATTTATCCTAAAATAAATCAACTTTTACCCTTTAGTCCCTCCATACCATTTTGGTCATCCCATAAGGTTTTTAAGATCTTCCAAAATAATCATCATCTTTTCGTTTATTTGTGCAAAAGTAAATGTGCATCATTGAATGTGTTGCATCCGACCAATGAGATTAATTTCTATTGGTGCAATGGTATGCAATATTTAAAACATGAGTAGTTCACAGAAGACGAAGCGGTAGAGCACCTTAGCCAATAAGGATTAATTTGAGAATAATAAATACTCCCTCTATTTCAAAAATGATCATCATATATGTTTATTCACCAAGACCAATGATAATTTAAATCGTATCAATCAAGACACCATGCACACGTTCTCCCACGATGCATGCATCGATTAAAATACCATACCAATTACGCCATAAGATGCACATATTCTCTCATGCTGCATTATTTGTATTCCGATGAAATCCATATTATGTGGTTATATAATGATCAATTTAAGAAATTTTGGATTACATTATATGATAATCAATTTAGAAATGATGGAGTATTTTGGTGTCATTGATTTTTGTGCTCTTTGCTAAGAGATGATCAAATTGGGATGGAGGGAGTACCTACCGCCAATTCGCAAAACAAGAAATTTTATTACTTTAATATCTCTCACGTACCCATCAACCCATACAACTTTCACATTAACTAAGGATATTATGGTTTTTATTTTCTCTCTTTAAAATTTTCTTGGAACGTTAGGGTTTGAGTTTTCTTAGAGAGGGAGTATGCCGAATGTTTTTTCCCCGAACAATGCACTGCTTAATTCAATGTTTTCTGACTGGAATTAATTAAAGCAATCTCCACACGATACTTCCATGTGCCAATACAAATACAAGAAAAAGCACAACTTACGTGCGTATAGTACAGTAGCAAATCAAAAAAGAAAAAAACAAAGTGCGGTACAATGATATATACACAAGTCCCAAATTTTCTTCGTGGGCGGCCTCTTCCATCCTATGCCACGTCGATCAAAGCATACAATATACTACATCGAACGGTCCAGATTAATTAAATGAGATAGGCTTGCAATTAATGCTCATCAGTAGAACTGAGCCGAGGAGGTGTAGGTGGCGCCGAACGACCACCCCGCCGGCGCGACGTCGGCCGCCGTGACGACGCGGCCGTCGTCGGCCTGCACCCGGAACGACAGCGCCTGCCCGTCGAGGCGCGCGTTGCTCTGCCAGTTCGCGCCCCAGTTGCGGCTCATCGCCATCCACCCCGTCCCGGACCCCTTGATCCACATCTGCGCCACCGCGCCGCTGCCGCCGACGTTCGTCACCAGCACCAGCTCGAAGTAGCTGTGCCCGTTCACGGCGAACCGGATGCCGCCGCTCCGCTGGCACGGCACGCGGCGGTAGTTCACGGGCACGATCCCGGCGCGGTACACCGCGATCGTCTCCCACGCCGGCTGCGACATGTCGAAGTGGCGGCGCGGCGGGTTGCACCACCCGCCGGCGTCGCCGGACAGGGCGTAGTTTGGAGGGCAGAAGTTGGTCGCCGTCACGGTGATGGACGTCCCCGGCTTGCACCACTGCGTCTTGCGGGTGTCGCAGGCGATGGTGAAGCAGGCGCCGCACGACGCGCCGCCGTTGAACAGCGCCGTGCTCAGCGCCGCCGTCCGCGTCCCGTACCCGGCGCCGTACAGGTCGCCGTACCCGCATGCGCCGCCTGGATATCACACACGAGACGAGAGAGAGACCAAACTCCATTATTGTAAATGCCAATTAAACTTTGCAAAAGATTAATTAACACATGCATGGTGATTAGCTGAGCTTAATTTGCTACTAACCCATGGTGCCGGAGGCGTCGCTGCCGCCGTAGAACGTCGCGAAGGCAGGAGTCCATTTGGCCGCGGACGCCGTGAGCAGGAGAGCGCAGAGAGAGGCCAGGAGCACGAGCATTCTGGCGGCCGCCATTGTCGCGTCACTGCAATGCAAGCTCGGTACAGTTTTTCTTTTGCTTCTAAATTATTGTAACTGGCTTCTTGTGTTGTGTGGAGAAGTAAGCGTCACCACACCTCGGTATTTATACTGTATTTGGCTGCAACTGCCGTGCTAACTGATTCGGTTGATAACGGCAGAGATTGTGCCTTTGATAATTCAGGAGGCTGTTCATATTCAGAATGGAAGATTTGCAGTGAGAAAGCGACTGGTATTTTATCCGTTAAAATTCCTTTGAGTAGGGCTTGATTAGCGTGTAATGGTTGGCTAATCTTGACTTTTGCGCGCATCTGCACGTTGTGTTCATGATTGGGTGTCGCGAACTGATTTCTTCAAGAGCAAAATTTGTTCTGAAACTAGTAGTAGCTGACTAGCTCGGCCTGCATTTGCTGTGTAATCCCGGTGCTCATGTGGCATGTGCGTTCCCCTGTTACGGCGATCTTTTATATAGTTTCAGTATCAGCCTTCAAAATTGACGTCATTTCAGGATGAAATCACTTGGACGTAATGATCATGTCATATGTATATATCGTACGTGCTTTTGTTTTCTTCAGAAAAAAGGCTTGATTTTCTTGGGTTTCTTCAGAAAAAGGTCGTCATGTGTGTGCACTAGTGATCTTACCTTCAGAAATCACACAAATTCTGCATTACAAACTGGAAATGCTTAAGAAAATCATTGTGAATTTTCAACGTTAGCGAATACTGTGTCAGATCATGGAAGCTACAGTGGTAACACTGTAACACTACAGGAGCATTGTACTAGTAGTAGCAAGTATAGCAAACTAATCTAATGCGTTTACTTGACGATCGGACGGCTCATGAAACGCCTAACTAAAGTCAAACCACCTTCCTTCTAATGCGTTTCTTAGGCAAGTCAGATTAGTCAGCTTTTCACTGCTCAAGTGTATTGCATTCTTCGTTAATACTCCAACTGTCTTGCATTATGTTCTTAGTTAATATGTCACATTCCATGCGTTCTAATACTGTATCGAGTTGACACTTTGTCAGAGGATTGCAGGCAATCGAGGAGAGAATAATATTCGATCTCTGCCATGATTCAAGGGCCGGCCGTACCTAATGGTACCATCTGAAACCGTTGATTTGATTCTTTACACGAAACCGCCATTCTTGAGATTGGCAGAAAACAACGATTGATAATGCAGAGATGAAATTGTTTATGGAGAATGCAATGTTTGTCAGTTAGGTAGAACATGCTCATGCGGAAAACACGGCCGCTAATCACCCGTGATGAACACCATGCATCTAGCTAGGTAGTAGTTCGTTCGTTGGGTACGACTTGGTGTTTAAGAAATTGTTAATCTGCTTTCATGCAACTGCCAATCACTCAGAGAGACGAGAGATTTTAAGGTCAATTACGCAAAGATTTTAGTATAAGCAACACCCTGTGCACGTTATCGTATCGGATGTTTCAAATATTTGAGAACCGCTACAATTCCCTTAAAATAATATTTGAGAAACTACTTTTGGTTGGGACGGTAGACAAACGGATTGGATGATGAGATAGCGTTTTCTTTTCTGAACTTGATACGATCGATTCTTTGGTTTATCTCACTATTACAGATTGTGAAGTTTACAACTTACAAGTACTCCACTCATGTCTTACGAATCCTGGATGGGTGGATCAAGATACAGTCGTTTTTTATTAATCTTAGGGCATTACTGATGTGGCAAACATTCTTCTTCTCACTTTCTTGTTAACTAATTAGAACATGTTTTGTTTTGAAAAGTTAACAGGAGTAACATGCTAAACGTCCTTAAATCAAGGTAAGCATATAAAGTCATAAACATGGACAATTATTTTCAGGTCAATCGGATAGAATAAAAAAAATATCCCCCAGTTATTCTAAACAGGCATGCATGGTGAACTGCAGATATAATTATATACTCTGCCTTTTTACTCCATCCAATTAACAAGCGATTAACCAGTCTAAGAAAATATAACAATAGCCATGTAGAGCCCCACAGCCCCACAGGCCACATTGAGAGACAGAGACACAGAGTAGCGTTTGTCATTGCCGAGAACATAATCTATGTGAAAAACATAAAAATAACTCCTTTTGCAACCAGGAATTTTACCGAAAGGAAATTTATTGTAGTTAAATTGACCCATATATTCAGCAAAATTTCTGTCAGTTACAATTTTGAAATTAGCTTTGCCTATTGGCTTATTAGCCGCGATGGACATTTAAAAATTTGAAACATAATTTATAGTTGATTTGTTTTTTCATCGGTCTATTTTCAGCCTTTATTTTTTGAACTGCTAATATTTTTAGGGCCTGCTCACTTTGATGCCATTTTCAACCATACCGTTTTTTTTTTGGTAAAGTTGTCAAAAAAAAATTGCCAAATTTGGTAAATACATAATAAATCCTGTCAAAATTTTGGCAATATTGCCATCTTACCAAAATTTTGGTAATTTAGTAAGGTTTATTTTGACTACAACCTGAACAGACCCTTATTCTTTAATTTTATTGGATTTTTATTTATTATGGCTTATTAGATGTAACTCAATTGATCCAAGCCCAAGGCTTTGAACAACCACGTGAGAAATCACCACTGAAGATTAAAAAGTTTATAAAATAAAACAAAATATAATTATGATTGGTTGAGATAAAAAAATAGGCACAAAAATTAAATGATACTCCATATGTTTGTGATTGGTTGAGAACTTGAGAAAAACCAATGAAGAAATAGTGTTGGCCCAAAATACTACCTTATCCATTTCACATTATAAGTTGTTTTGACTTTTTAAAGTACCTTTTTTTTTGAAAATTTGACCAAGTTTATAGAAAAGTATGGTAAAATGAAACTATCAAAATATATTTGATGTTAGACATAATAAAACTAATTTGGTGCTACAAAATTTATTATATTTTTCTATAAATTTGATCAAAGCTAAAGAAGTTTGACTTGTAAAAAAAAAATCAAAATTACTTATAATATGAAACGGAGGTAGTAGGTACTAGGATGCTATGCATATTAAGAAGAGGAGTGTCGGCCCTCCATTAAATGTCTTGTCTTGAAGTTTGGGAGGATGTAAAAGTACTATACAAGTGTATTTTAGAATCTAAAAAGTGCTATATTTTGAAAAAAATAATTTTAAAGCGGATAGAGTATATTATATTTTGAGATAAAATTTAAACACTATCTAAACATGCTTTTTATTTAATTCATAACATCGATGAATCTTGCGCGGGAATTATAATTTTAGAAGAAGAGAAATAATTGAAGAAATGAAATTAAATATTTATATATTGGCTCCTAATCGAATTATTTGAGTAGTAGCTATGGTACGAAGATAGAGTGGCAAGTGTATGCTTTGATCAAATCAAGATGGAATAAGTCCACTTTCCCTCCCTCAACTTATGGCCGTGTATGAATAGCATCCATCAACCGCAAAACCGGGTATAACCCATCCCCCAACTCCGAAAACCGTTGCAAATCAACTCCCTGAACGGTTTTGGAGGCGGTTTTGTCCTATGTGGCAATTGACTTGCTTATGTGGCAGTTGACTTGCTGAGTCATCAAGCGGGACCCACATGTCAGCAGTCTCCACCTCATCTCATCTTCTCCCTCACCAGTCACCATGATTCCCTTCAAGAAACGGGAAAGGAAAAAAATCAAGAAGCGGAGGCGAGGCGATAGAATCGAGCAGCAAGATCAACGGCAAGACAAGTAGCATATGATGGTTGCCGAATTCAGAGAAGACGCTGGCGATCACGCGAAACAAGAAAGGGGAACGAACAGAACAAATCAGAGATCAGAGACCATGAAATCGTCGAAGAACATGAGCAAGCAGCAAACAAGCTAGCGGAGTTCTTCTAGCGTGCGCGCGACGCGGAGCGGGTGTCCGCCATGCACAGCTGCTGGCAATGCCACCGTCGTCCCCGTGCCGGAGCCTCTCCGTCCTCATGCTGCAGCACAACCCGGCGCTCGGCGACATCCCCAGTGGCTTCCTTCTCGGACGGCCGGCAAGCTTCTCCCGCGCGCGGACGGCCGGCGAGCTATTTCCCTGTGCGCGGACGGCCGGCGAGCTGCTCCTACGCGCGGACGGCCGGCGAGCTCCTCCCCCGCGCGAGGACGGCTGGCAAGATCCTCCCCGCGCGCGGACGGCCGGCGAGCTCCTCCCTCGCGCGCGGCCGGCCGACGAGATCCTCCTAGCGTGAGCACTGCCGGCGAGATCCTCCACACGCGTGGACGGCCGGCGACTTGGAGGGGTTGCCTCGTCCTCCACGACCCCCTCTTAGACGATGCCCCGGCGCCCTCCCGCCTCCTCTGCGTGCTCGAGCCGGGCCACTCCCCGCGCGCGGCGTGGCCAACCGACGAGCTCGTCCCCCTTGCGCCGTTGTCGCCGCCCTGCTGATAGAAGGTGAGAGGAGGAAGATATGAAAGAGAAAGAGGGGAAGAGATGAGGGAGAAGATGAGATGAGGTGGAGACTGCTGACATGTGGGTCCCATTTAATGACTCAGCAAATCAACTGCCACGTAATCAAGTCAATTGCCACGTAGGACAAAACCGCCTCCAAAACCGCCCGGGGAGTTGATTTGCAACGGTTTTCAGAGTTGGGGGATGAGTTATACCCGGTTTTGCGGTTGAGGGATGATATTCATACACGGCCATGAGTTGAGGGAGGTAAAGTGGACTTATTCCAATCAAGATCGACCTCGCCGTCCGGCCCAAACTAAATACAGGCTTCCACAATTTCCCGAGTTTCAAGGCCCATCTAATTTGTACACCTGAACTAAGCCCAATTTGGCCCAAGAAGAAATTCCTGCACAGGTGACAGGCCTAGTAGGAGAAGTTGACGTCGGACTGGTAGGTGGACCCGAACTGCCAGTTCGCCGGAGCGACGTCGTACGCCGTGACGACGCCGCCGTCGTCGGCCTGCACCCTGAACGACAGCGCCTGGCCGGTGAGGTACGCGTTGCTCTGCCAGTTCTCCCCCCAGTTCCGGCTCATCGACAGCCACTCCGTCCCGGAGCCCTTCACCCACGCCGCCGCCACGGCGCCGCTGCCGGCGACGTTGGTGACGAGCACCAGCTCGTAGTAGTCGTGCCCGGCGATGCCGAACCGGATGCCGCCGACGCGCCTGCACGGCGTCCGCGCGTACCTGACGGGGACGATGCCGGAGCTGTACACGGCGATCGCCTCCCACGCCGGCTGCGACATGTCGAAGTGGCGCCGCGGCGGGTTGCACCACCCGCCGGCGTCGCCGGACTCGCTGTAGTTGGGCGGGCAGTAGTTGGTCGCCGTCACGGTCACCGACGTGCCGTTCTTGCACCACCGCGTCGCCGAGGCGTCGCAGGTGACGAGGTAGCACGCGCCGCACGACGCGCCGTCGCCGTACAGCGCCGAGCTCAGCGCCGTCGTGTTCGTCCCGTACCCGGCGCTGTACATGTTGCCGTACCCGCACGATCCACCTGCATGATCAAAGCAGCTAAGCGATGCGTGCTGCACTGCCGCATTGGCCGGATGGTGATCAAAGCTGTCACGCAGTTAAGGTGTTCGTCCAGGTTACCCATGGTGCCGGACGCGTCGCTGCCGCCGTAGAACGTGGCGGTGGCCGACGTCCACTGCTGCGCCGCCTCGCCGCGGAGCCGAGACGCGCAGCACAGGCTTAGGAACAAGACGACCAACAGCTTCTTCTCCATCTCGCTGCTGAAACTTGACCTGAAGAGCAACTAGCATTTCTTCTCATGATACTTATAAGCAAGCAGCGGTTGACGACGAGAGATCACGCGCGATACGCATGCATGTGGCCTCTCCGTTTACTTTCGATCAATCATGGTGGTCGTCGATCAACTCGTCGTGGATCATCACGCATGGTCACATTCTCTTAGCTAATAATCCTACACAGGACAGCATATGGGAGGAAATTAATCAGTAGATGATCAACTGATGAATCTTCCTGATGTGACATGATTAATCCTTCTTGTGAACCATGATGTGGATTTTAGAGTATGATCGATGTCATGGCCAGGTGGTTGTTTCTTGGAAGGGAGTTTCACCGGTGCTCATCACGGGAGGCTGATTTTAGGAATTGTACAGTTTCAGACGAGCAGAGTTTCAGTCCGTGACCCCTGCTGTCATTTTATTTTTGGCCAAATTGGTCTTTTGAAAGCTCAGGATTCAGTAATGCATCCTTCCGATTCTTTGGAAAATGTGCATAATGCCAGATCTAAAACAGAAGTGCAAGTTCAGAGTTTAAGAACTACTGTTACAGACATTGTGAAATGTTCGTTTTGTCTTCTCCCCTGTCTGAAGAACATCCATATCTGAAATTTATATAAGCACTATCCTTTTCTTTTTTGTTTTGCTAAGCAAATGTTACATACCTTTGCTAACAAATGCAGGTTCACATGCTCATTCAGCTTCCTGGGGTTGCAATTACAGCAACCTAGAAGTTCAGACGTGCAGCAAGCCTGCAACTGAGATACTTGTCATGTCGATTCTCCAGACTACTTCAGTTATCCTCAAGTAATTAAAAAAAAAAACATTGTAACTGGAAGACACGTTTTACTTCAATCATTTCCTGAAGATAAGGATTCTGCTGTGATCCTCGGACATTCCAGTGTTGCAGGAGCAGTAGACAGCCATGAAATTAATCAACTATGCAATGATCGAATCAAGCTGAGCTGGACTAAACAGGGAAAGGTAAAGCATTTCATATGGTTCACAGATAGAATCTTCCTCATCTTCCAGCCAAAATGATTGTACTAATCATTAACAAATCATCATCGTTCTCCCCAGCAACTTATTACAAGAAACTTCTCTATTACTACTACATTTTGCATGTCGCTCTTACACAAATAAGTGTCATCAAGATGGCATTATATCATCGACAAGTACATATAGTTAATCATCAAATCACAGACAAATCAATTCAAATTTTAAGATAAGTTTGAAACCTCAAATCTCTCCAATGTATACGTCGCCTTATAATCTTATATCGTCTAGGTCTTCTTGGGGGCAAACTTGGCCTTGATCTTGTCCACCTCCTCGTCGTCGATCTGGAAGGCCTTGGCGAGGACGGCGTCGGGCACCGCCGGCGAGGCGGCGAAGAGCGTGGCGGCGATGGACTGCGTGCCGGGGAGCTGGCTGTTGAAGGCGGAGACGACGGCGGCGGGCTTGTCGCCGGTGTTCCTCTGGAAGTGGACGAGGCCGCGGGGGAAGACGAAGACGTCGCCCTGGGAGATGGTGCGGGAGAGGAGCTTGTTGGCGGTGGTGACGAAGCCGACGTCGAGCTCGCCGTAGAGGACGAAGACGACCTCGGTGGCGCGCGGGTGGGTGTGCGGCGGGTTGAGGCCGCCGGGGGCGTAGTCGATGCGGGCGAGGGAGACGCCCAGGGTGTTGAGGCCCGGGACCTTCTCGACGTTGGCGCCGGTGACCACGGCGCCGGTGGTGGTGTTGGCGGCGGCGCCGGGGCTGGCGAGCACGCCGGAGAAGAAGTCGTCCGCCGTCGCGTTCGCCTTGCACGGGAACCCGTTCACCTTCACCTCTGTTATTGATGATAATCCCGTTACGTTACAAAGAAAAACCGGTAAAACTTGTTGGTCAAAAGAATTTTACTGAGATTTGGATTTTTTGGTTTGAGTTTTTTCTTTTGAACTGGGCCGATTTACCGAGCAATTTGTCAATTCGCACAATTTTTTTTTCAACACAACACAAATGTAAGCACTCACAACTATAAGGTTTCCTTACCGTCTGGGGTGGGGTTACCGCCCCCGCAGTAAATGTGGTTACCAAGCGGTAACCGCGATAACCATGGCAAACCATAATAAATTTATCAAAAATTTAAATTATTTTTAAATTTATTTGGGTTTAATGGGGTTATCGTGGTTTTACATTTATCGTACCTAGCGGTTGTAAACCATGCTCACAATGCGCGTATGCTTATCCTCTATGAACGTGCACGCACACATGCATACAACCTATCCTATATGAGCATCTCCGAAACCATCATTGAAAGAAACATAACCGGTTATGTTCACTTTACGATTTATTGATTCATACTAACTCAATAAAACCGCTAATCCTAATATTAAGTGGTTGCGGTTATATATTAGGGCTTGTTTAATTGATTGTCATTTTTAGTTTTGTCAATGTGAGAAAAAGGGGTAAGAATTAGCAAGGCTTCGTTTTGTTTTGTTTTGAAACACATGGTACAAACGTAGACGTATTGGGAAGAGAGTTACCACGAGAGTAAGGTGGTTTTTACATCCAGGGACTTAACTTTAGTCCCTGTCTTTAGACACTAATTTAGAGTATTAAATATAGACTACTTACAAAACTAATTACATAAATAAAAGCTAATTCACGAGACAAATTTTTTAAGCCTAATTAATCTATAATTAGAGAATGTTTACTGTAACATCACATAGGCTAATCATGGATTAATTAGGCTCATTAGATTCGTCTCGCAAATTAGTCCAAGATTATGGATGGGTTTTATTAATAGTCTACGTTTAATATTTATAATTAATTTTCAAACATCCGATGTGATAGGGACTTAAAAGTTTTAGTCCCATCTAAACAGGGCCAAAAATTACAAGGCAGCAGTTTGGGCACATGGTCTGTACGGTTCCGTTCAGTAGGCAGGGTCCATTGACGCCTTTAGCAGATGCACTAACAATAAATTGGCAGATTATGGATGGACTGATGGCTACTCCTAATATGCTCTAATAACTAGCTAGTATTCCTTTTTCTTTTGAAAGAACTCTAATAAACTAGTTTCTGGATGGACTACATCAATCTTAATTGTATCCAATCGACAAATTGTTTGCAGGATCTACAAGGAGAGGCAAGAAGACGCATATATAGGGGATAATTGCATTTTTAATTTAAGAAGAAAATGAGTATGAAATGGAAATGCAATATATAGTACACCATCCGTCCATGGAAATGAGTTGGCGTTGGATTCAGCAATAACTACGTAACGCGCGTGGAGTCTAGCCTACGCAAGACATGACAAAATCGTAGTACTAGCACGCTGTATATTCGTACCACACTCAATGCGAAACCGAAGCTGCTACAGACATTCTACCCATCGATGGCGACTTTGGCGAGCTTCGATTCTCTTTATTTTCTTAAAAAAGATCCTGACTCTCTTTTTTCATAGAAAATTTATTTTTTTCACAAAAAAAGAAAGTAATTAAACGCTGAGTAGCAATGTAGCATATCTCTCCCAAAAAAAAAATGTAGCATATCTCTAGCCTTAATCTGAACCATCGTCAGGCAGCTCCAGTTAAGCAAAGACCATGCATAAGCAGGCTAAGCAGCAGTCGATCGGTGATCTTCCTACCAGGCTTTACATTACCGTCGGTAACCACGCGTTTACTATGGTTACCGTTCTTACCGCGTGGTACGGTAATACAAATACTGCGGTAACCTCCTTAAATTTAAATAAATTTAAAAAATAATTTAAATTTTTGATAAATTTTGTACGATTTTTCACGGCAGTAACCGTGCTTACCGCCAGGGCACGGTAACCCTGGCCCCGGCGGTTTGGGAAATCCTGCTTCCAATCGATCCACAGTTCCACACACACACACCAAATTAAGATCTTGCCAAGAACATGGACAGATCATATGTACGAACCGGAGTTGAGGTCGGCGACGCAGATGTCCTGGAGGTAGTCCGGGTCGCCGGCGAGCGACGGCGCTGCGGCGACGGCGAGCGCCACCGCCACCGCTGCGAGGAGCAGAGAGGACCACGACGACCCTGCAGCCCCAGCCATCCTGCTCGCTGATCTCTCTCGCCTGCTAGCTGAGCCTCTGCTCTTCTTCTGCTCGCCGATGGTTAATTGATTGATGTGTGTTGACCACTTGTCGTTGAGCAATCAGAGAGGAAGAACTCGGTGCTACTTATAGCTGGGGAGGGGGTGAGACGAGGAGAAAAGATTAGGCTGGTGATTAATTACCGGAGTGATTGATGATCATCAGCTGTGAGTGGGTGAGAGTGTGTGTGGGTCAAGGAGGCTGACTGGCTGCTGGTGTGTGTGCTTTGCAAGTGTACTTGATTTCATGTCAAGCAAAGTGTGTAGATTTAGGGTTGGTGATTGGTCGCTGGGCAGTAGATTATTTGACTGCTTACCGCGGGATTAACTTCATGCATGGAAAAATAATCAATCAGCCATTGTTATAAAGAACAATGGCAACCATTTTCTCATGTAAAAAATTGGGTGAATAGACAGGGTCTCTAAAGTTTCGCTTAGGGGTCAATTTAGTTCTTAATGTTTCAAATCGTCCAAACAAATTCTCCAAATTAATTATTTGGGGTAATATAGTCCTTGGACCCATAAAAAATACCACGTGAGCATGCTAAGTCATCCTCTCATGCAGCGGTATGAATAAAATGACCATTCTACCCTTATATACCATATAAAAAAGAAAGAAAAGACACAAACAGAAAAAATAACGGGCCAGCCCAGGCCCAACATTGTTGCGGAGAAAGGAATTTATACGATCAGTGCTTGGTTGCAGCAATCGTAAGTGACAATTCTAGAACGATCATACACGTGTGAAACATTTGTCTTTTTTTTTCTTTCTTTTCTATATGGTATATAAAGGTAGAATAGTTATTTCATTCATACCGCTCCATCCGAGGATGACTTGGTATGCTCACGTGGCACTTTTTCTGGGTCCAAGGACTATATTAACCCAAATGATTAATTTGGAGCTTTGGACGATTTGAAACCTCAAGGACTAAACTGAGCCCGAACGAAACTTTAGGGACCATATTAGCTATTCACCCTAAAAAATTGGCATGATAGATGTGATTATTTACCGTCGTCAGATAAATATGATTAGAAGGAGAAATAACACCCCAATATATGATATATTTTTTTGATTATTTACTGTTTATTCAGATACGTAGTTAAATATTGTATAATCTTTGGAGGAAGTGGATTTTAAATTTACATGACGTGTCAATTATCTGTAAAGATATACTCCCCTGTTTAAAGAAAACCTAAAACGAGATGCAACGTCTCCTAATACAATAAATTTGAACAAGGATATGTCCAGATTAATAGTAATAGAAAACGTCACATCATGTCTTGATTGGTTTTATGGGACAAGGGATCAGAGTATATATGAAGCATGGTTAATCTAGAGAGGATAGAAATGGGGTACCATGGAAATCAAAACGAGATTATTTTTTCCTAAAGTACTCTCTCCGTCCCATAAATAAAACCAACTTATAACTATTCCAGATGTATACTCTCTCCATTCTAAAATAAACCAACCTCGTATACATACTAGTAATGCTAGAATGTAACCCATTTTTTACGAGGCTGGTTTATTTTAGGACGGATTTAGTTTTTTTTATTGGAAGAAGAGGGTACTTAAGAGAGGAGTGCTTTAATGCGGATTACCACTCTGCAAGTCTTTGCGATTAGACTGATCAGCTAATCCTTTGCCAGAAATCAAGAATGCCCATTGTCACTAGTCACATGATGTGACGAAACCGAGGTTTTTCTCTTTTGTTCTTTACGGAAAGCTCTGGTTTTCTTCCTCGGTAGAGGCACCCGTGCTGCATAAAGAGCTATGCAACGCCCTCTAGTTTCCACTTCACCTCAATGGTTGGAGAGAAATGGCTCTCCATGAGACACTGTTAGCTCACATGTCACTAATCTTCTTTCTTTCTGTCTCTGTCCTCTCCTGACGCCTAATGCATATGTTCCTACTAGAAAATGCATATTGTATTCCTGTTGAAAGATAAGGCCTATCTGAGCTAACTGAAGTTCACTACAAGAGAACATATCATATACACATAAGATTTCAGTGCACACCAATTAGCAAATATCAAAAAAATCTAGAAAAAAATGGACACATACTTTTAAAAATGCACCATATGTTAGAATTAATGCCTTTGTCAGGGCCTTATCTGCTTGAATCAGTTTGCTGCTGTCCTTGTTGCCTTGGTATAACAAATTCCTCTATATTCTTAGACAAATTAAGAGGAGATTATCCCCTATATTCGTGGACAGAGGGAGTATTACATCTATCTGTGAAATTTCATGTTTAAATTCATTATAATTTAGTCGTAACAAAAAAGACAAAATTTCACTTTTTTGTTACAGTTAAAATATAATGAATTTGAATATAAAACTTTGTAGATATGTGTAATACTATTAAGAGTACACGTTAGAAATTTTCTATGATATTTGGTAATTAGTGTGCATATGCACGGGAAGTTTTTGTGCATAGAAGATATGTTCCCTCACTTCAGTTCCTACCATTTTGCATGGCACGTATGGTTGCGTGCATGTTTAATTGGTGCAGACATTGCAAGTTATCACTTTCATTATCAATTTTGCATAGCACAAGCTTCTTTGATCTCACACGAGCAAAAGAACTCTTTCTCTCTGCAGGAGAGCCAAAGTTTAATTAGTATGGTTGTATGTTAAAGAAAGAGCACTTGTGCAATATAGTGTAAATGAAGAAAAGTAGGAGGCTTTATCACTTTTTATTGAGAAATTTGAAGATATGCCCATCCCATATGATGCTTTACGATTTGCCATCCAACTTGTTTCTATGACATTATGGATCCTGGTCATACACGTCATAGACATATACTCCATCCGTCCTAAAAAAACTCAACCTCGTACTACGACGTGACACATCCTAGTACAACAGTATATCCAGATTCGTATCACATCTTAGTACTAGGTTGCTTTTTTTTAGGACGGAGGGAGTATATGATTGGCAAATCTTAGATTGCAATTAATTATTGGAGTTGCAAAATTCTCAAATCCCCTTTTTATTGGTTCATTACTTTGTATGGCCCAATTATTGTAAATTAATCTGCTGGAACAGAAAGGGATATGATCAGCCAAGTAGAGCTCTCAGTCTCAGACCTAACGCGAAAACGAAAGGGAAATATTTAATCTTTATGGAATAAAAAAAACTAGACTAGATTGGACATCAAGATAACAATATAACATCCTACCTACTCAAAGAAAAATCCTTTCTTAACCTACCCTTGATTGATGCAAGTCTCCTATAGCAAGGACTGATGGCCCTAGAACAGGACAATGAATGAAGGAGCCCATCGACAGATACTTGGGTAATTGGGTTGGGCTGCTATGATTTGATGAGTTGTGTGCATGAAGCATCATCTGCCTCTCTGATTATTATTTCATCACAATTTCAGTCTGTCACACTCGATGTGTTTCATGACTGGACAAAAAATCAACCATGGCTTATTGTGAAAAAAAAGGGAAACGAACAATGCAAAAGTAAATATCATACTCCCTCCGTACTTGTAAAAGAAGTCGTTTAGGACATGTTTAAATCAAACCTTGAGAATATAAATCATGAATAACTCTCAAGTTGTTGAGTTTGAAAATGTAAAAATTATATGAATAGATTTATCTTGAAAAATACTTTCATACAAGTATACATATATCACTTTTTAATAAATATTTTTATATAAACAAGAAGTCAGAGTTATGTTTTGGAGACCGTGTCGCTCTCCAAAACGACTTTGTTTACGAGTCCAGAGAGAGTACATCTCCTTTTATTTTCCTCCCCAAAACTGGTCCAAATTAATGAGGAATACAACCATCGGGGCTTGTTTTGGTTGTATCCCGGCCAGGCCCAGCCCAACCCAGAAGACATGCTATAACACATGTTTTAATCAGCAGAATAGCGCACAAATAATCAGCTGTTGCTAGCTTTATATTGGACTGTAGGAATGAAAAAAGTTTGGAAAGTTTTTGGTTTCTGGATGTGTCTTTGGAAACGAAAAGTATCGGTCAGAATTTTTTTTGGAAATTTCTAGAAACGGAAATTAATTCAGATTTTTTTTCTCGGAAACAAATATGGTAAGAGACTACTGTATGTCGGAAACCAAAATCAATCGGAAACTTTTTGAAATGAAAACTTCTCATATATATATATAGCTGCTTAGATTTGGCTTTCTCTATTATTCAGATTTCTACTGAGGTGGTTAGTTGAGTGGAGATATTTTTTTTCTACTGCGGTGCTTTAGATATGTTTTTGTTTTGCCTAATTACTATTTTTATTAGGCCATGCCATACTAATAATAGTTATAAATGAAGATAGTTCTCGTTATTCTGAGAAGTGAAGCGTAAATTAGTTGTATTATTATTAAAATTGATAAAAAATAGAAGTGTCGAATTATTATTTTTTTAAAAAATAACGAGATGCATCTCTTCATGGATTCGAGAAGTTCAGTTCGAGGGGTTTTATATTCTGATAAATATTTATTACCGTATCAATTCTGATAATATCCAATTCAGTTTTTCTATTCGGGATTTCTGATTTTTTTTTAAAAAAAGAAAACGGAGACAGTAGAGGTGGTTTCTGTCCGTTTATCCCTAAGGGGACCCGGATTTAAAAAAAAAATGCAATATTCCTTGGTCTTAAACTAAAAATATATTCTTGTACTACTCCTGCATACATTTGCACTTTCTCCAAATAAAATATTAAGGGTTTGGTCAACGAGTACCAATGTACCATCGACTAATTAAGCTCCTGCCTCCCAACATGTTGATCACAGCTTCTGATGATTTCAAATGCAATTATTTTTCGAGGCTCATATATGATGCCTTGGCAATCACACGAACGTCACAGATACGTGCTCATATAATTATTGACCCTGAAAGACGATTTCAGCTATGCCTTTTCCTTTGTCAATTGATGGATCAGTTCGAGTTCATCACAAGTCACCTTTTATTTTCAATCACATGCTGCCCTGAAGGCAACTGCATGTTTTCAGCAAGTATTTGCGTTGATATTAGGGCTGTCAAAAAAGCTCGAGGCTCACGAGCAGCTCGAGCTTGGCTCGTCCTAGGCTCGATTCGAGCTCGGCTCGAGCTCCAAATGAGCCGAACCCGAGCTTGAGCAAAAGCTCGCGAGCTTTACCGAGCCGAGCTCGAGCTTCTACCGAGCCTGGACGAGCTTGACCGTGTATAGTTTATATTGCATGTTCACCTTATTAATATAATAAACTAATCGATAAATATATATATTAGTATCTATTTACACAATAAATTAGCATGTGTTAGCACAATATATTTATTTTAATCATTTTCTACTCTTTCATTAGTGTAATTAACTAGAAAATAATTATACTTATCAAGATATTATAATTAATACATATATTATACTACTTATGATCGAGCTCGGTAGCCGAGCTCGAGCTCGAACGAGCTCGAGCCGAGCTTGCCTAAAAGCTTGAAGGTGCAGTAGGCTCGGCTCGAGCTTGGGCAGACGAGCTCGCTCGAGCTCGGCTCGTTGACAGCCCTAGTTGATATCCAATTGTTTTCTGAAAGCATAGGATGATCCCATCTAGAACACTGTAGATTTGCCACTGTTTTGTACAATACAAACTTGTTTAAAAATATCCATTGACAAATAGGCCGTAGCACGACTGGAGTGCAACGCCGTATGCAAACAATGGTTTAGTCTATGCTGAAATTTGGCACAGATATAGGTAAGCTGTGCGATGAATTAACATCGGTCTTTGAAAAATACAACATTTCTTTTCATATCTATGGAAACATCAAAGACATCATATCCTTCCCTGCGATCCACGAACAATGAGCTGCTTTGAATCATGAGGTTCCCAACAGAACACTCCCTGAGCAGGTCAGTTGATGTTCATATCCTCAGCACCAGCACCGTCTCCATCTGCATGTTGTGAATAGATGGTTAGCGAAGTTACATAACTTATACACAAGTGTTTTCTGAGGCCATTTGGCAAAACCAACCACGAAAGCATACCCTCGTTTTCTGATGAGGTGTTAATCAAGCGCCTGGAACGCTGCTGCTGTTGTCGTGTTGGCTGAAATAAGAGCAATGTGATGGCAATTACTTTGTTTTGAAATTTGAAAATAGTGTAGAAGTTTGGAAGTCAGAGGAGCTGAATTTGAGCAAACAACATGCTCATTTCAGGTGCTAAATATGGACATGTATAAAGAGAATACCTGCAACTTTGGCCTAAGTGCCTCAAGAGGTCCTTTGGGTTTCGCAGCGCCTTGCTGTCCAGACTGCAGAGCCAAATGTCAGAATATCAATATCAGCACGGTTGAATGTGGAACTCAGGTAATTAGCACCCAGAATAAAATTGATGCCACAGAAAGAAGTGATACCTTTCCCAGAGCCCAGTCAGCAGAATCAAAATAGGCCCGTTCATGATCCTTCAATTACAGAGAGAAATTTAATCACTAATAACTGCTGATGTCTTTGCACATAGAAATAAGGCTAGGCAAACTCATTACCTTCGAGATGAGTGGTGGTTTTTTTGGCATTAGTCCTCCAAATTTCTTCTTGATTGCTAATTCCTACAGAAAGGAGTAGATGGTGTGTTTAACAAAATTGGCCATGCCAGTTATTTAGAGTAATGTTGCTATACGTTGCATTTACAAGGGCATAGGGGTAACAATGAAATGACTATATCATAAGATCTAGCCAAGGAAATGACCTGTTCTTGAGCTGAGGGCATGGAGTTATCTTCAGTTTGGTCCATAGGGTCAGGATTTCCAACAGTTTCAGGTCCAGCAGCATTGGTGTCCTTCATATCCGACATGATGCTAGAAACGAGAAGTACTATTGTCAAAATTCACATGATAAAAGATGCCAACAGCATAAAAAACCATATCTAAGGCATGATTTCTTGGGGAACAGAATGTCAAGACAAAAATGAGCCAGAGGCTGAGGAAAATTGCCCAATGTCAATTCAGTTCAACTCAGCAATCAGCATCTTCAAATAACTGGTGCTTTTTAAACATGATGATGATTAGGGAAGTAATATTGATAACAAATTATTAGTCTGTTCCTAGCCTTTTACAATTTTACCTACAGGCTAAATGAAACTGAGTATTAGTTGATCCATTAGGATAGTCAATTTGATAGCTTCCTTTAGTTGGCACTTGGCATTGCTGAATCTCAAAAGCTGTTAATAGGTCTTGGGCCAAAATGCCAACTGTACTTACACTAATGCTAGATATGGAAATTACAGAGTAATTTAATCACCCCTGTATCCTTTGTGCCCTATAGAACAAGTTAAGGGTGTGTTTAGTTCACGCCAAAATTGGAAGTTTGATTGAAATTGGAACGATCTGACGGAAAAGTTGGAAGTTTGTGTGTGTAGGAAAGTTTTGATGTGATGGAAAAGTTGGAAGTTTGAAGAAAAAGTTGGGAACTAAACCAGGCCTTAAATGTTTACATCTTCATCCATAGCCAACTAATAAGAAGCAACGAGAAAGGGGTATGCTGACTACTCTACCTGCTCCACAAATATCGAAGACAAAATATCACTAGACTGGCCCTGAATCTGAATGCCAGGGAATTACACTAAGAACAAGGGCGGAGACAGCTCCCGGGCAGGTCGGGTGGCTGCCCGGGCTCCACTACGGACAGCCTATAAAAATCAGTCGATCACCGAAAAACACTATTAGTCGCTCGGACTCGACGGTGGGGTGCTGGACAGGGGCGGATCCAACTTGGGAAACTTTTGGGTGAACAAACAAACTGTTATTACTTGAATTAAGAGAGGTTTAAGGCTATCAAGTTAAGGAGGAGGAGAAGAGCTTCTTCCAGATCTAGAAGAGAAGCTAGTAGGGTTCACGAACGCAAGCAAATTCCAGTCCCGGTGGGGTGGAGGAGAGAGAGAGAGAGATGAATCGCGGATGCTCACCAGGATCCCCTCACCTCCGCTGCTCTGCTCTGCTCGCCAGATGGAGATCGCCGCCCGGCCCTCCCCCCTGTTCGTCTTGGCAGCGGCGCAAGGAGAGGAGCGGAGGAGACAGTAACGAGAACGAGACGGGAGATTTCTTCTTCTTTTACGCGCTAAGAGAGAGGATGCGCGTGAGCGTGACGGATAGGGATGCTCACCGGGATGTGATGCGGCGGAAGCAGCAGGACGGCGGCGGAGATGGAGATCGGCGGAGGCGGTGCGCGAACTCGCGAGGAGAGGAGAGGAGTTGACACTTGACGAAGAGAGGACGGGGAGACGGGAGATGGATCGCGCAATGATTGGACCATGAGATTTCCCTTTTATTTTTTTTCTAAATAAATAAATAAATTTTATAAAATCATACTCCCTCCGTCCTGTTCCATCTCCTAGTGCGACTTATTTGTTGTTCTAAAATAAGTGTAATTTTTATCATATTGTCTTACTTATTATTTATATTTTGTTTCATCTTGCTCTCAACTAGTCTCCCGCTTGTACTACTGCTATCTCTTTCTACTCCGTCCTAAGAAAAAAACGAATCCTAGCATCGAATTTAGACACGCATATATTTAGGTTCATGCTATGATTCTTTTTGGGACGAGGGGGTATTTAATAAGGGTGCTTGGGTAAAAATTTTTTCTCCCTCTTATTTTTCTCTCACTCTAAAAAATGTTCTTATAGTGTGACATAGGGTGTACTCCTATTATTGGGCCTGTTCGGCAACCCGTTTTCACAGTTGCCTGGTGGGCTACGCTGCACAGCGCAGCCGTTCGGCAGCAGCGGCTGCACCACTCCTTATCGTTTCCATCTCCTATAGTGTCTGTTAGGCCCCTACAGTGGCTAGAGCGGCTGTTGGCTAGCTGCAGCAGCCACTTGTTGACGTGAAAATCAACATGCACTGGTTTGGGAGATCTGCTTAACTCCAGTGCAGGTCCAAAATAATTGCCTTCGGGTTCTGAGCAAACCAGATGGTTTAATCCTGCAACCAACAAGATAGAAAAACAACAAAGAGTTAAATCCATCAACGATAGCCAATCGGCGGGGTTGCCGATGACGTATCGTCCGAGGCCATGCCGATGTAACTTGAGTCAGATCGACAGAGGCAGAGAAAAACTTGGAGATTGTTCGATTTACTCGATCGGCTGTAGATGTCAACGATATGTAATACATCCAATGGGGCACGCTTAGATCGAGCGATTGGGACAGATCAGTGGCAACACCGAGACAATATAAATTGTTCTATATCTAAATGTGCTCCAAAGTAGGGATTATGCGCATTCACAGCATAGCCGATGGGGTAAACCTAACATGTATCGGCTAGAACTCCGATACCACATTATAGCGAAATACCAACATAGATGAAGTATAAAAAAACTAAGACCAATCTAGCGAGCGTGATGACCTAGCATATTGATGGGAAGCTTAAATATACTTCAAGAGGATGGGATCTTAATATAAGGGGCAGATTTAGACGATCTAGAACCAAAAAAGGAAGCAAAACGACTAAATCAGGTAAGATCAGCTGAAACTCCGATACTATCTCTGTTAGCGGCTAAAGAAAGAATTAGATAGAACGTTTCAAGACAGTTTTAATAGATCGAACCTAATCGATGCAGCATTAAGCGTGAAGAGAAACACAAGATCTAATCAAATTGTTGAGAGCTCATTCAAGATGGTAGATATACCGCATAATCAAGCTTAATATCGAAGCCTAAGCCTACCGGCCGTTTTCGATGATAGAGGCTAGCCGATGAAGCTTAGAAAGCGAGATCAATCTAGATTATGCTATATATATGATAGCTCAGCGGCTTCCATGGACATTATTAGAGTGTCATAAAGATGTAAGCACTAATCCCGAGAACGCAAGCCACCATGACAAGATTTACCTCTTCGTCGGAGATCGAACCCGATGCAGCCCAACTCGAAAGCAAAAACTCGTCGAAACAATGAAAGTAAAAAGGGTGGCGATGCGCCGAAGTGTATTGAACTGACGTCCCTTGATTACATGGGGTCGGGTCATATTTATACCCGAAGTACATGATAGGTCCTTGCTGGACACGACTCTTATCTCTAACACAATAGAATACGAATGAGCCCTTCAGGTGGACCATAACCAAGATATCTCTAAGGAAACTAGAAAATGCCCTAATTAATAGATACAATTGCCCTTTTTAGGACTCCTATCCTTGTATGGCAATAGCTGTGAAGGGCTTCAACCAACCCGTCGACGATCGTAGGGCCAACTTTCTCGAGGCTGGTTGCATCGGCTTGACTTCATCGGATCCGGTACTTAGCCGATATGTGGCAGCTGATACCATTAAGCCAATTTATGTGACAACCGATGCTGTTCGTAACCAATGTGTACTCTGCTTTCTCAAACGGACTCTTTCCAAATTGGCTTCGTTTCCAATTTCGAATCCAACCCATGGTACTACCAAATTTAGTCGTCAACACCACTGTAGTTATTGCAGCAGCGCAGCTGCAGAGCTGCAGCAGCCAAGCCTACCGAACAGGCCCATTATCGTGGTACAAGTTGCAAAAACAACCGAAATTTTATCAGGTGATACATAACCCCAAGTATGAATCTAAGGTTTCATAGAACTACACTATTAACCATCTATATAAAAAAATCAATAAACTTTTGCTTACATTGATGTAACATTTGTATAATAGATAAAAAAAACTCATATATTTGAGACATGATGGTAGAACTCAAAAGTTGAGAAAACTCACATTACACACTTTGTAGAAAAATAGCCGTGACTTGAGAGCTGAGGAGTCGCGTCAAGGTAGTGAAGGACATGACTGTCGTCCAACTGTTCATCTTTCGAGGAGGAAGTGATAGGAGTTCGCGCGAAAACCGATGGTAATAGATGTTGCTTTTAAAATATCAAATAAATCTATTTTTAAATTTTTAATAATTAAAACTCAATTAATCATACGCTAATGGCTTTCTCTTTTTTGTGAGTTGACTTCATTTTCACCTTGATTTATCTCAAACACCACCGTAGTTGAAGACTTGAAGTAATGATGGGAGAAAGACGAAACGACAACACCACAAACGAACACTAGCAATACGCCGCCTGAATAATAAAGTTTACATGGGCGGCCATCTAAGATGCGCCACCCATGTAAATATATATTTCTTTCTGGTCAACACCTCGAATAAATTACCTATGTGTATATATGTGTATCGTGTTGTTATGGGCGACTGGTGTCACGGGTCGTCCATATTTCACGAAAAACAAATGATGCTCATGGGAGCCTCATTTTTTCGTTTATGCTTATGTTTATTGGAACCGCTTATTAGCAAAATCTGTAAGTGAAACTTCTATATGCGTGTCCTTAATGATTTAAAAGTAAATATTGTAAAATAAACTATGATGAGAGAACCATCAAATCAACTTTAAATTTAGTTTTAAATTTTTTTTAACTTATATTCATGGCAGCGTATCCTACGTACACAGGGTATAGCTGCACTCATGTAGACATGCATCTGGAGCCATTCGATCGACATCCCATGGCCAACTCTCCAAGTGTGGCGATTTTACGAATACCCGCCCACCTCCTCCACTTCAATTTTGCAAAACACCCCCTCTGTCCCGCGGTATTATCAAGTCCTTCTCATTCGATCCTACTGACTGATTAATTAGGTCTAACCAATTGCAAGATAAATGGCGTTGGCGTGCGGTTGCTCCATGTTGCTGTGTCTGAAGTGATTAGATTAGATTGTACTCATTCATATCTTCTTTTATTTTTGGCAGATTGAATCAATAAAGAAGCAGAGTGGGAGAAGCAGAAGAACAAGACGCAAGGATGATAATACTGGTAAAGAAGCAGAGTGGCAAGGAAGGAATACCACGGCCCTGCAAGATTTGCAAACAGATGGTCTTTCATGATAGTTGTGATTGTCCAGAAAAAAATGTAGTAACTAATTAGTGCAAAGTTCATATATGCTCATGTACAAATTCTGAACTAATTTTGTTCTACCGTGTCTGCCTTTTTCATATGACTGAGATGCTTTAAAGTTATATTGAATGTCATTTCTTAGCCCAGGAATTATTCAAAATCACAGCTTAAGTACAAGCTCTGCAGTCACTACATAGAAACTGAAACTGTGATCATAACTGAGCAAGATGTGCAGCTCTACCACCACAATTATTTCTGATCTATTTGACAACATGCGACCATCGCTTTAGAAAAATCTGAATGCTCCCTGGCAATTCACTCAATCCATTCACTGAAAAACTCTCAAGTAACCTGAATGCTCAATGACCAGATTTTTTTTTCCACAGCTACTACAAGAGTATATGCAAATCAAACATCCACGATAATATAGTTCTTTCAAGAGGAATAGCAATTAATTTCATTAGCTTGATAAACCAGACAAATCGCCGGCTACCCTTACAATCTTTAAGTTATTATTAAACCACACACATATTACATACATATTTCGCCAAGGATAAGACTCCAAATCGCTGGCCAGCTTTACGGCGTTTTCTGCTTCTTCGCGCCTTTACTGCTAGCAGAACCATGCGAGAAAGAATTTTTTTTTTCGAACGGTCAGGCCGTTGCCGACGTTTTATATTAAGAAAAAGGTGTCTCATTTTAAGGAGCAAACGAGACCAAACCTAACAATGTCCAGTTAATTTGGAAAAACTGAGCAAAAACCACAATTACAACACCACACTAACAACTAATCTAACCTAAGCTACCATGACGGAGCCCAACATAAGACATTGACCAAGCTTGTCATAGAGACGACACAGTAGCCAACGCATGTTATCGTTGCCAAGCTTGCCACCCAAGTGACACAGCAGCTTCGACCTCACTGCGATGCTACTCCAACGCCAAAAAGAGCAAACAGAAATGATACCCATGAAGAACATCAGCCCAAACTACCAAAGAATCACTTCCTGCACGAAGCTAGCATCAACAATCCTATAAGGAAAATGCAGTGTGTCATCGTTGCCAAGCTTCGTCGCACCCCTACAACAAAGCAGCTCCGACTCTACCCAACAGAAACCAAAAAGGATGATAAACACCCGCCGTAGAGCAAAGAACAGGAGCAAGGCAGCGAAGGCCTCGTCAAACACCCTAGGCTTGTAGGGCTTTGGAGACATTGCAGAAGTCCACCGACTATCGATGTACACGGAAGGTTCTTGATGCTAGGAGAGGTCAACGCAAAACGACGCCTTCAAGAAGGAGAACGGCACCTAATGGCGTCGTCGTCGTCATGCCGGCCCATGGCCTGGCAAGGCTTTCGCCAGCGATTCCCAATCAAAGCTCCACACAACCATCGTGTACACCAACCATCGTCGGACC